ACATGGTAGGCATTCAAATAAATATATGAATGAGTCCATGGCATAACAGCATAATAGATTAAATGTATATCACAGCCAGGAGTTGCTGTGCATGCTTGTAATTGCAGCACTCTGGAAGGTGGAAGCAGAAGGATCCCAAGTTCAGTGTCCAGCCTGGACAACTTGGTGAGACTATGTTGCAAAATAAAAAAAACAGAATGGTGAGCATAGCTGCCTTCCAGTATTAAAAAAACAAAACAAAATAAAAACAAAAACAAAAACAAAAAACAACAACAGAAAAACGCTAGGGATGTAGCTCAGTTCAAAGTCCCTGAGTTCAATCCCTTGGATGAAGGAAAATAAAAAGGGTATATCCTTCACTATCAATTTTAAAAATAAAACATTAAATATTATTTAAGAATCCTGGATGCACATTGAGGCGATACTCTTAAGTGAAATAAATAGGACACATGTGTAAATACCGAATAGTTTCTCTAGTGAGAAAGTGAAAATGTAAATAAGGACTAAAAGGTATAATAGATAATGTGAAATAGGAAGAAAAGGGGCAAAGGGGAAGGGGAAGTGTGAGGGGTAGGGGAAAAGAAAGAAGGGAATGGAATTAACATGAGAAAAAGAAAAAATGGAAAAATCTTTGTAGATAGGGAGGGCAGGGGAATGGGGAAAAAATAAGAACCAAAATGGATTATGTAAAGGTGCAAATTTCCAAAGATGAATGTCATTATATTGTATACTTTAAATGTTCCAATATAATTAATAAAAACAAAAGAATCCATTTGATAGAGAAAAACAAAAAACTTCAATCAGAACTAGTATATAATTGTGGAGCCCTGGAGATGGTCTCTAAAATCTCTGAATATCTAGAACTTTAGAGGTTAATGACTTTGGATAAAAATAAATCTTTAAAGGTAGCTAGCATGTTGGTTCTTTACCTAGTTTCTCTTAAGGCTGCCTACCTCCTACTAATGTAAGTACTAGAGAGAATTTGGAAGGCAGAAGCAAATATGATCTACTTGATTTTGTTAGTACTGACATAATACTGGTAGTTGATTCCTGTCTCCGTGACTTTCAGAACTTCGAAAACCATCTGTAAAGTGCATCCCTCAGAATTACTGAGACCAGGTTAAGTAGTGAATTTTCTCAGAGGTCTAAGCCAAAATCACCATGCAGCCTTTTTTGTTTTTTTGAGCTTCAAAGTTCTGGTAACATCAACTTTTTCCTTGTTTCCTCACTCTAGGACTAGGTGCTATATCCTGCAATCATGATCTCTGGGTTACATTTTGATGTCTCTGTACCCATACCCATTATAGGCTTCTCTGGTCATATGCTGCTAGAGATGCTATCTCAAGGATGTACATAGTAAAGTGGCTAATGGTAGTATCAATATAGAGAGATATAAATGCTGAAGGTGATTTTTCCCCATTTAGCATTTTAGAGTGTGTTTGAACATTAAAAGGATATTAACACAGAGAGATGTCTGAATCAGCAAGGGACTGGGGCAGCTTCATCCGATAGAACTTCCTGTGCTAATGTGAATGCTCTAAAATGTTTTTGTCCAATATGGTAGTCAACAGTCATATATGGCTACTAAGCATCTGAAATGTGGCATGCATGAGCAAGAAGTAAAGTTTTAAATTTTATTTGCTTCAAATTTAAGTAACTAGTGGCTACCACATTAGTCCAAGTCTAGGGTGACTAGAGGACTGGAGAGGCTGCAAGAGTACACATTAGGTTGCTGGATAGTTTGACACTGGGGCTACAAGACAAGACATAATCTCTCATTTAATAAAACTCAGTCAAGCAGTAGCTAACAGTCATGCAGAACAAACCACTGTGAAAATTAGTCCACCAACAGTGTGGAGGATGAATTACAGGAGCAAGAGCAAAGACAGGGAAGGTAATGATGGACAAATCTGAGCAAAGACAGGGAAGGTACTGATGGACAAATCTAATAGTCCAAATTAAGAGATGAAACCTCATCAGCTCTTAATAGTAAAGACATTAAATTTTTGACTTAATAAATGCCAACAATGGAAAATAATAGCAATAATTCTTCATTTCTGAACCATTCTATCTTTCACCAAGGAAATTAGATTGGGGGAAAAGTGATGAATTTAGTGTGGATAAGCAAAGTTCAAAGTACCTCTTAACATCGAGTTACACACGTTGAACAACTGGAAATATCTATCAGTTTAAAACAAAGGAGTTCTGGTTACAAAACACTGACTTGTGAATTACATAGAGATTGTGAAGACAAACTGATAGGTATGACCACCCAGAAAAAAGAAGGGGGCCAAGTACCATGACTTGAGCAATACTAATATTTATGAGAAAGAAAGAAAAGGAAAAAACAAAGAATGCAGGTAGGAGTCAGAGCAACCCAAAAAGGCCTTTATTTCAGGAAGTCAATGATCCTGAAAATCAGGAGGAATAATCAACAATGACCCACTGTAAAAAAGGCGAAGTATTGAGAATCTATGCAGCAGGCATTTTCCAAATATTTTTCATATAGAAACAAACACATTTACTCTGAAAGAATCCTCTTCAAACTATGTTATATTGTGATCTCTATTTTACAGATAAAGAAACTGAGGCAATTAATCTTTCAAGGTTAATTCACTTACTCAAGTTCAAAACAGCCTGGATGTGACCTGGAGAAGGGGGAAAAGGAAAGATGGAGTGGGGAGGGGAAGAGAGACTCCTTTTAGGAGTCTTTAGGGTGGGGTTAATCCAATATGACTGGTGTCCTTATATGAAAAGGAAGATACACCAGGGAAGAGGAGGAAGAAACAGGGAGAGAGAGAAGGGAGGTAGAGAGGGCAGAGGGGGAAATGCAGACAGCAAATTCATCCACCCAACTTTAGTTAGGCTCAATCACAAACTGTTAGGTACCATCACATGAAATTCTTAGATAAATTTAAAATTTGAGTAACAACTATCTAACCCAGTATTCTAGAACCAGTTCTCATTTAAGAAGCCTATACATCATCGGTAGGATGTAAGCACTTAAAGCTTTTCCTAACATAATTTTGGTGTACAAACTAGGTTGAAAATACTGGTCTAGTTCTAGATTACTAAAAAAAAGCAACCATTTGCTAAAGGACAAACAGGTTTGGGGCTAGTAAACCGTGAAAAAAGAAGTGAGCTTTTTGGATTAATTCTAAGAACAAGAATATCCTCAAAATAAAAGATTTATTTTCAATTAAATTTGTAAGTTCATTGTATACTACATTCTTTATATTTTCTTCATAATACCCTTTGTTACATCCTAGTTAACTTAATATCAATTTATAGTACCAATTATAAATTTACAGTTAGGGAGGTGCAGAGTTGATGGAAAGATCATACCTAATTTCACCATTTTCCTCAGTAAGGAAAAGTAAAGATAACTCAGTACTATAGGACCTAACTGAATAAGCGATTAGAGATGGTAGTGAATGTCTGAAATACTAAGTATATGGAACAAATAAGAACATTTACAATTCTGGAGTAAACTAGAAACATTTATAGCTAAGTGGATGCACATTGAGGCCATACTCCTAAGTGAAATAAATAGGACACACACGTGTAAATACTGAATAGTTTCTCTGGTGTGAAAAAGTAAAAGAGTAAATAAGGATCAAAATGTATAATTAATATTGTAAAATAGTAAGAAAAGGTCTAAAGGAGAAGGGAAAATGGGAGGGGTAGGGGAAAGGAAAGAAAGGAAAAAAAAATGAGAAAAGAAAAAAATGGAAACAAATCTTTGTAAATAGGGAACGGTGGAGGGGGTGAAGGGTGGGCTGGGGAATGGGGAAAAAGGAAGAACCAAGATATATCATGTAATGATACAAGATCCCAATGATGAATGTAACTGCATTGTATACCTAAAATGTACCAATAAACTTAATGGGAAAAACATAAAATTCTGGAATTGGGCCGGGGATTTAGCTCAGTGGTTTTGCCGCCTGCTGCGCAAGCTCAAGGACCCGAATTCAATCCCTGGTACCAAAAAAAAAAAAAAAAAAAAAAATTCTGGAGTATATGCTTATGCGCATTCAACTGTATAGAGTTATGTGAATTATGACTCATTTATTTTTAATTATTTTATTATCAGTGTTATTCATTCTACTATTAGTCACTTGTTCCAAAGATAATTAGGAAAATGAAATGGGGAGGGAAAGGAAAAGAGAAAAAAACTAGATGCTGGAAATAAAGGATTTGTAAAATAGATGGATACTTCATTTTTACAAAAATAATCCTCTACCAACTTGGACTCAAGAAAAAAGGGGAAAAATAACACCACTTATATGTATTTGCTGCACAAGTTTATCTGAACATAAGAAGATACACGTTTAGGTTGGGCGTAGAGGTAGGAAAAAGGAGGGAGATGGGATAAAAACAGTAGAAAACAGAAATATATCCACGGTACAATATTAGGTGAAATGGATGAAGTAAACACAATAGTCAATATGGACTATTTTATTCATTTAGCAAAAATGTGTTCAGTGAAAATACTGAACAGATTATACAATATGAATGCACTGTGAGCAACTTCTACCTTGGATTGCTATAATTTTACTAATTTGTAAAGTGAAAGTAAAAGAAAATGCCATAGGTTTAAGAGCAAAACTATAATGTAGATATTTGTCATGTACCTTGACACTGAAGAGACAACGCTAATAATCCCACTCTTACTTGTGGAAAGAAGAAAATTTTGCTATTATATATTTTTATAATTCAAAGAGTCGGTACAATTGTAGCTTTAACTCTTACTGTGACTATGTTTGGACACAGGGACTTTTAGTAGTCATAAGGATGGGGCTTAATCCAATACAATTGGTGTTCTTAAAAGGAAGACACACCAGGGATGGGTAAGCATACAGGGTATGCCATAGCCATGTAGGAGAACAGAGAAGGTGGCCATCTGTGAACCAAGAGGAGATGCCTCAGGAGAAACCAAACATGACAGCCTTGATCTTAGACTTCTAGCTCCACAGCTCTGAGAAAATAAATTTCTGTTATTTAAGGCACCAAGTTGTGTAGCAGTTTATTGTTATACCCTAGCATACTAATAATATATGTACTTTGCATGAAGTTATCACAGCCACAACAAACAGTATTTAATTTGACAAGTAAACCAAAGTAAAAATCCGTAAGACTATTTGCACTCATTACCCAGCAAGCATCCAAATTTTGTGTTTTGGGGAGAAAAGAGGAGGACCCAGAGGTAAGTTCATGTATGATTTATACCTGGATGTACCACAAACCCTCTTGTGTTCAAAGGCAGGGCTTGTAGGTGACTGGATTACAGGGCCCTATCACTCACTGGCTTGCTGCAGTGATCTGGGACCTGGTAGGAAGACATGGGTCACTGAGGACCTGACCTAGAGGATGTATTTCCTTCCTAGGCTCCTCCCTTCTTCTCTTGTTCTGCTTCCTGGCTGCTATAGGGTGAGTTGCCTTCCTTTGCCAGACCCTTCCACCATGCCTCTTCTGCCTGGAGCCAGCTCAAAAACTAAAACTTCTGAAATGTGAGCCAAAATAAACCTCTCCTCTTTTAAGTTGGGGGTGTCAGAGATTTTGTCTCATCCATGAATAAAGTGACTAAGACATTTAACAAGTGTGATTCACAAAACAAAGATACTGAACTTCCTTCTGGAAAACCAGATAGAAGAAAAAATGCACTTTATTCTCAGATAAATGTATACAAACAAAGAAAAAAAGTTTTTGCCAACTTCCTTTAAACTGCAAGTGAGGGAAATAAGAAAAAGCCTCCAAAAAAAGGATCATGAATAAATATAAACTAAATAGCATGAATTTAAGGTGCACAAAATAATACAAATATTTTCAGGTAGTGCAGTGGCTCTCAAACTTTAGCAGACATCAAAACCGTGTTAAGAACTTGGTTAAAACACGCACAAAAAAATTTTAAATCCATTGTTCTGAGGTAAGGCTCAAGAATTTTCAGTTCTAACATGTTCATAGATAGTGCTAAAGCTGCTAGTCTAGAGATTACATGTGGAAAACTATTATTTTAGCGGATAATTATTATAGTATTTAAATGAATGCTATAAAAATATCAGAGAGGCCCCATAGGTTGGTTCACTCGTGGCTAGTTGTCTCCCTAAATCGTGCATTTATAAGGAATTCCTACAGGTCTCAAGTTCTATTACTTTGAATATACTCTGAATTATTTCAAAATGTAATTCTGGGGCAGTGGGAAGAGAGTACTAAAGTAACTAAAATGAGTTATCTGAACTAAAGTGAAACTTGCTGCGGATTAGAGCTCTATGAGGTTCCAATTCTTAAAGTACTTGCTGTAAATTTTATTTAATCCAGTAAATTATACATAAAGAATTTCACTGATCTAAATCTTAAGACTACAGAACAAAAGAGTATAAAAACAAGCTTTTTCCCCAGGTTTGGAAAAAGTCAGATTCATTACTAGAAATGAATAACCTTACTTTTTAAAGTACAAAGTAAATAACAATAATAATACTTACCTTCAGCAAAAGAGCCACATGATTCTTTGGATGTGCCTTTTGAAGGAACAATTTCCATATAGTATTTGAGCACTTTTGTGTCTCAGCAGTTAATTACACATATAAACACAAGCAGCTTTACCATAGTAGAATATTATAAAATATCAGATACTTGAAAAAGGCTGTGATGATACATATAAAATTTCCAAATTTTTAACAAGACCTAAAAACCAAACAAGACTTCTGCTCAGCAGAGAACTTAAAATCTAAAAGCTAAATACATTTTGATACCTACAATATGCATAATTTAACTTGACAACAAGAAAAGTATGAGTATCTTCTCAGTAATATCTGAGCAATACAATATATTTTTTAAAAGTGTCATACGCTATATTAACATTTTTTCTTCTTCCTCCACCCTGCATCTTTTGTGACAGGCACTTATAAAAAGCACTATTTTTGGCGACGCTATAACAAACATACGCATAACATAATGATGTATTTTACTATGCTAACAAAGTATTATTTATAAAGAAATTTTTATAAATTCAAAAATAGGTTGTTATAACATGAGTACCTTTAAAGCACTGATTTTGATTTTCATTCACAATCTTACTTCATTAATCTTAAACAACATTTTCATCTATAAAATGTTCTTTAGCAGTTTCCCTTTAAAAAAACTAATGTAAATAAAAGCAGTTAATATATTCAACTTCTAGTTAAACAATATCAACTTCATTTCACAGCATTGATTAGTAGAGAACATTTTCAATTAAAATGGTATACAATTTACAAAAATAGAATGATTATATAATGCAAAACATTGTCCTCCAATATGAAGAACTTGTATATGTATACATGTTTCATTTTAAGTTTCACAAATAGCCCTTATTCAAGTACTTTTTTCAGATTTCACTTGAAATAATCACCTTGCTATATTACTTGTAAATACACACACAAAAAAACCCCAAAGGTTAATATAAGAAAAGGTTATTTGAGTCAAATATCAGTCACTCTCTTCAATGAAAACCTGACTGAATTCAAAACAGGTTTAGATGACATACTAAGTTGAACAACTTAGTAAAGTATATATATATTTAAATGTTAAACAGTAAACTTTTAATTGGCTACCATTACAGCAAAAAAAAGAATGTATTTATCTATTCATTACCCAATATTTATCCCAAGGAAAAGTTCATTTGCATATTATAACTAAAAAGATAACACTAATATACAATATACCTGCTTACAAACACACAGGTAGCCATAAATAAAACTTTATTCTTTAATTTCATTTACAAGCTACCAAATATTATGTATAATACACAGTGCTGAACACTTAAATGGCTATAGTCATGGAAGACTCCAGACTGAATGGAAAGCTGCTGATAAAGAAAAGATAAAAGCAAAGTAATACTGTAACAGAAAGGTGGCAAAAGAATAATTTTGCCGCCGTAATAAAATCAATCAGATTTATAATAGTATATCAGTTCTCGTTAAAACAAAGTCTGAGCGCCATGCGATTCTCAGCTTTACTGTGTGAAGTCTAGTTAAAGTTTGTATAGTCATTGTCTTTTGCAGTTATTAAAATAAAAAAAGTTAAAAACTATAGCAGCAACAAGCAAATCCTGTGATAGGAAGGCAAGAGTCAAGAACTAAAAAAGTTTATACAGTGTTTAGAGAAAGTGTGTGCGGTTTATCTTCCATCAGCAGGAGTTCGACTGAGAGACAACATGATTCGGGCAAATCGCTCACAGAGTTCATGAGTGGAATATGAAGGTAATTTCGGCGGCTCATTGAAACCTTTAATCTCTGTAGAACAGTCAAGCAGTTTTGGCAGAAAATCTGTCAGCTTTTCTTGGAGGTTTGCTGCAAATACAAACAAGGAGATGTAGTAAATTATGCGGCAACCATCCGCAAAATGACTTATTACCTTGCAGTGGCTAGTTGAGGTTTTACTTCTAAATAGTATGTAAAATAATTGCCATTTTGGGGGAAGAGATAAAATATAAATGGCAACAGTAACATATACAACTGAGTTTGTGAGTATGAGGGAAAAAAACCATAATGATGTGAATGTGAAAATACTACAGAATATTTAAAAATGCCAAGAATATAGAGCATCTTATTCTAATTGCTTCTTATCCCAACAAATCAGGTACCTACTAGCAAATGTTTAAACTCACATTCCATTTCTTGTCCTAAGTAGGAGCACCATCGATTCCTCATGTCTTCTACAGCAAGTATATCTTTCTCTTCCATTTCATCCACCAGTAACAGGGGCAAAAATGGAACAATAAACTCATTCATAATAATCAAACCATTGTTTACTTCTCGATCTTCTCCAGATTCAAAGAGTTCTGCAGCTTGTTCATTTAATTTCTTTTTGCAGTGAGAAAAAAAAAGAACAGATTTTGTTTTCTTTTTTAGTTAAATAAAAGTTACCTGTAAATGTCAATACTAATGACAAAAATAATAAGTATGTTTATAAATACTATTGGAAAAATAGCAGTCAGAAAAATCACCTCAGCATATTTTACAGCAAAGTCCCTTAGAGAAAGCTATGCATGTAACAACAGAGCAGAAACAGAAGCAAAACACAATGGAGAAGGTACTGGTGTTTTTAAAGTTCATGTTCTGCTTATATTACTTTGATCATCACTGTAGGCGTCATTTAAGTTTTCAGAGATTAACTTCTCTCAGTTTGAAACTTTTTATAAGCACACAAAATAATTTTTTAAATAAAGAAATTCAGGTTCCATGTTAATTTTGAAAAACACATTATCTTCTCTATAAATGTCAAGTGAAAATTCTTTAATACAAACAAGGTTAAGGTGATAAAAGTAATTCATTTTTCTCCTACAACGAATTTTTACTGAATATATACCATATGTTACTAAGTGTTCTACACAGATACCCAAGCAAAAAGAAAACTCTTAGGGAGCTTACAATTTGGTGTAGGCACCAGCAAATTTCTGCTGGATTATTTTAGGGTTTGAGAACCATATAGTTATTGCTCTGGCTACTCAATTTTGCCATTACTGGACAAAGCCAGCCATGTACAACATAGGGATCATCAGTCACTGCTATATTTAAATAAAAGTTTATAAAAACAAATGGTAGACTGGAGTGCAAACCATGAGTGTTGACCACTGATTCAGTATAGAGAAATCCATGAAATAAGAAATGCAGACATAAGAAACAGAGTACTGACATACTAAAAGCTATGATATTTAAGGGTTTAAATTTGAAACTGTAATGAGTTGCAAAGCTGAATTTCATATAGAAAAATTACCTGTCTATATTATGTAATTCTTGTACAACTGATTTTTACTGTGGAAACAGGTCTGTACTAAAAGTCCAACTCATTAATTATTCAATCTTGAACAAATTGGTTAAATCTCTTAGCTTCAGTTACTTTATATGAAAAATTAGATACTATTATCTTCCTGATATGAAGATTAAATGAAGGAAATTACAATAGTTTTATCTTTATAAAAATAATTCAATAAATTTGAATTGTTGTTTTGAAGGGTAATGTTAAATTTTAATGTTCAGTTCACTGAAGCAATGACCTAAATATCTTAAATATATATTCAAAGACAACCTTATTCATCCTCTTAAGATTCCCCATGCTAAACCTCAAACTAAAGTCTGGCAGCTTTGATTTTTCCATTTGTGGCTTTTAGGCATTTAACAGTTACCATGTCCCTAAATTTCATTTCCTTCATCATCTTCTACACTGTATTCTTCATAGCCACCATATCACTGCCTTACTTTAGGCTTTCACATCCTTCCTGTCTTCCCCTTCTAAAGATCCTGACATGAATCTGTACTTCTCTATAGTAAATCACTGTCAGAATTACTTTCTGGTTGGTGGAAAAAACTGATTATGCTAAGCATAACTGAAGTTAAACTGGTGCAATATAGGCTTGTTATCTGACATCAGGCTTGTCTCCTCCCTAATCCACTACTGTGTATCTTAGCCACAATAAATTTAACTTCATTTTCTGCTGTATATATTCTAGGATAGTTGTGGTAGGGTAGCAAACCTATGGTATGAATGCTGCAGCTGGCTATCTGCTATCACTGAAAGTTCTAAAAGGTTTGCTATCATTGTATATGGATGGTGTCCTTTTGACTAGAATGTTCTCTCTTTTCTACCATGTATAATACTCCTATTTAACCATCAAGATACAGTTCAGTGGTTATCTCTTAAGAATCTTCCAACAATTCCAGAAGTACCATTTTGCATATTTCTCATACTGCTACTTAGTCTGGAATATAAAAATTATTTTGTATGTCTCTTACTAGATGAGTTCCCTGAGCATAGGAAATATGTCTTACTCATCTGTATATCTCTCAAAATGTGATATTCTGTAAATACACAGTATGAAAAAAACTCCACAAAGGAACACGAAAATAATCCTTAGGAAATTTTATCTAAATCCCTATAATAAAACAACTACGTGTGGCTGATTTATTAAAAAATGAAAAAAGAAAACATTCTATATTTCTTTTAGTGTTTCAGAGGAATCAGCAAGTTGTTGTATTTATATTTAAAATTAGTTTTACTAAAATCTTTCCAGAGCCCAAGAATTATTTGTATTTAAGTTAAAATTTTCAACATATTCAATGCCTATTGCTATACACTTAAATAAATCTGCATTTTTTAAAAAGTGAAACACATAATTCAAATGTTCCTTCTCGTGGAGTTTTTTAGTCTTTGAAAGTAACAAACTCATCCTGGGGCTGCGAGTCTCCCTTAGTGGTACAGTGTGTGCCTACCGTGGGTGAGGCTCTCGGTTTATCTACAGAACCACAAATAAACTGGTGAAAAGATAATAATACCATCCTCAGTGAATATAAAACAGCAAATAATTTAAGTTTAAAAATGCACTGAAATGTAGTAAAATCAGCAGAGAGATCCTAAAATTTTACTATTCCCAATCAAAAACATCAAAGAGCTATTGCACTCTAAAATTAGTGTAAAACTGGTAATTTCTACTGAAAGTAGATTTCACTAGTGGACCTATTTAAAAGAATTTTAAAGTATACTTTATACATATAATGAAACTCTACAAATTTTAAAAATATAAACAGTACAGTACTCTGAAGATTTTTGCTCTATGTTTTAACAGGAAATAAATGACAACTTGGGAGTTCACAGCACAGAACAGATGTTAATAGTAAAGTGAAAGTGAAATCTACTCAAAGTATTTTTAAATGGAGTCTAAGATATCAAACATGAAGGCAAGCTGATCCAAGGAACATCAACAATGTACTCCAGACATCTAGAGTTTCATGAACTTGTACAAAAAAAAATTTTTTTTAAAGTAACTTTTAAAAATCTGTAGTACTATAATAGTAACATTTCAGGGCCGGGATTTAGCTCAGTGGTTTCGCCACCTGCTGAGCAAGCGCAAGGACCCGAGTTCAATCCCCCGGTACCAAAAAAAAAAAAAGAAAATATGGCTTTGGGCCGGGGATTTAGCTCAGTGGTTTCGCTGCCTGCTGCACAAGCGCAAGGACCCGAGTTTGATCCCCGGTACCAAAAACAAACAAACAAACAAACAAAAAAACCCCACAACATTTCAACATACAGTGAAAATAGCTGAAGAAGAAACAACCAATCATTAGGTACAAAAAAAGAACATTGTATCACAATGAATCCTTGGACCTTATGTACATCAACTATACAACATTCATAAAGGCGATTCTTTGTTTTCTGGAATAACAGTATTTCCTCATGATCTATGCACCCACTCCTTACCCACCAAAATGGGGACTGTAGTATGATGATGAACTCTAAATATATAACAAAACAAGCAGATCTCAATTTAAGAACATTTTTGGTTTTTAACATAAATACTTAGGATGAAGAAGATGCAATTAAGTATATTTTGAATCTTAAGGGAACAGATCCAGTATATAAACATCATTATAATTCTTACTCTACCAAAGTTAATAATCAATCCTTAACATAAGCCTGAAAAGTTTGCCCAAAGATAAAAACATACTGTGTGCATTCGACTTACTAGTAAGCATTCTCTTCTATAATGTGATATCAACTCTTCATCATGTCCTCTGTATGGGCCCTTGGACAAGAGTTCTTTGTTATTCTGATAAGCACAGATAAGGAACAGCAAGGAATCTATATAACTTAAAAATTAAAAACAAATATATAATATTAGCATTTCATTTTTGTTAAAAAAAAACCACTAAAGTACGATTATAAAACATTTTAAGTATACACTTAAATTTTTATTATCTAAAACAACATTGTGCTAAAACATATCATCCAGTACACGGTGTACTGTGCTCAAGAGCACTATTTTAGCAACACCAACATCTGAAACCAGGACACAGCTGCAAGTTAAAAAAAAAAAAAAAAACAAAGCTAGGAAAATTGAGTGAAGGGGTCATAACTGATAAATTTAGATAGAGACTCTGTATTCTTTGTATTAATTTTTCTGATATTTCCATGTAGACTCAAAACTAAGATTGATGTGCAAGCCAAAAATGTATTTGTTTAGTAATATAACATCATTTTCACATGAAAAAAGGATCGAATATCATTGTCTTAGGATTGCAAATATCATTTGGTTCATGTACTACAGTGGACTATTTAGTCAGGTTTCCTTTATGTGTGGACACAGTTCTAGCAAAGGACAAAGGAGAGAATATCCAAAGCAGATCAAGGAAGTAGAAAGAGAAAAAAGTGAATTCAAAATCTGGGATACCTATTGGGATAAAACAAAAATAAAAAAGCCCATAACTAAAGTAAAAGGATGACAAGACTAGGCCCTATGTGTTGTATTAATATAAGTCTAGAGAGAAAATGTTTAATAACATATTACATTTTTATCTAAAATAATTATCCTTCTCTAAACATATTAGAGGAAAAATATATCTAGTCATATATTTATATAACTGAGATTTGAAAGGTATGTTAAGATATCATGTTTGTATCATTTTTCCTATAAATTACTGTAACTTCTCATAGATTAGTACAGAAAAATATAGCATGTTTAAAAAAAGGAAATATTGTAAGTGATCACATATTTTAAATTCTGGGCTATGCTATCAATCAGTGTTATTGTGCTCAGATATGAAATAAATATATTTCATTCCCCAGCTATAAGTATAAATGTAAACTTAGGAGGAAATTAACATGCAAATTCATAAAAATCTGATTAGACATCTGAAATGATCATGAGTTTATTTTAAACATTTTTAGAAAATGTATTTTTCCAGGAATTCGGTTTTGAGAAACTTTTCAAAACTTTATTTTGAAATATTTTAGTAAATATATACTCAATTGAAGATTTATGAAAAACTGGAGTCTTAATATTAAACACTACTTTACATCATTAAACTGTTACAGTTGATTAATAAATAACTGGCACACCTATCTTTTCTTTTCTAGATACTTTTTAAATAAGAAACATATCTCCTGAATGACATTCATATTTAGTTTTATAGATCTGAGTCATCTCTCAGAGAATAGCTCTGAAACTGTTATACTGGTCCAAGTCTTCTCTAAGTTGCACAAAATTTCATCTTTATCAATGTTTAGAGAACTTACAAATACATAAAATTCAGAATAAGATCCACTAGTCCAGTTACCACATTCTTACTTAAGATGAAAAAAGACCACGTAGCCTGATAAACACTCTTTATCTTCCACTTATATCACTATAAAGCTGTGGTTCCTAAAACATTTACTTCATTATTCAGAATTGACAAGAACTCATCAGTAAATATTCCACTGAAGGCTTTCAATTGTTATGTTTGTTTTGAAAATAAAAGTTTGATGGCATCTTTTGGTATATTTGATATATACTTAACTATGCTAATTGTTTAAAGTAATAAAGCTAACATTCCTTTCAAAAATATTCTATAAATACTATGTCACTTTACTAATTTTCTAGTTGATTATCCCAGGTTAATAACATTCACTATACTACCATACAGATGTGCTGAACAAATATATAAGAAGTGATAAGCAAATTACGAAATTTAAACAATCTTCTAAATTATACCTTAAAGTCTTTTAACAAAAGCTAACTAGGAGTTAAACAGCTACAAATGGATACTAGATTTTTGTGGGGGAGTGGGGAGGTGTTTTCTTTTAGGGATGGGGTGAGGAAGAGTCTCACTATGTTACCCAGACTCGTCAAGATTCTGGTTCACAAGATTCTCCTGCTTCAAAATGTATTTTGCCTCTACTTTATTTAATTGAATCATATAAGAATATAGGGGGGTTTCCAATTTAATTTTTCTGATTGGCTGCGTACTTTGAAAAGGTTATTATATCTCTGAGGAGTCTACTTCATTTATCTAAAAGTCTGAAATGTCTTTCTGATCTCACTGTACTCAATTGTAAGATCAAATTAGTATTTCCTGACATAAGTATGAATCTAAGAAATGCTGAAAGTGAATATTGTTAGAAAAATAAAATAATGACTAATAAACTCATTCAATGGAGCCATTCATCAAAATACTTTTCAATTTCAATGATCAAAGTGAAACATCTTGTAACACAAAGACCAGGACTTTAATAATGTGAATCTAAATGTTTAAATACAATGCGAAGTAAAACATTATTTATTTTTTGTAGTGTAATTCTTAAAATTTGATAATTATAAAATTTCCTCTAGAACAGTACTACCTAAACAGAACTTCCTCTGTTGACGGAAACAGATACCCCAGTGTATCTGTGCTGGTCAATATAGTGCTTACTAGCCACACATGGCTGCTTAACAGTAGAAGTGTGGCTAGTATGACTGAGAAAGTGAAATTTTATTTTAGTAATTTTAATCATTAGATATGAATTGTCACATACAGTTAGTGGCCACGATGTTCAATGGCTATAAAAAAAATGTCCACCTTTGTCATTAAAAGATCATTACCTCAGTGTAGGATTACGACATTTTATTAGAAGAAAGAAAAAAAATCAGTATTCTTTTTACTTCATTACAGTAAGACACTGTATTGAAATAAAGCAGTTTCTCAAAAAACACCAATTAAGTAAGTGAATTACTGATTAAGTAATTCAGGATATAAATTTAGAAATAAAGTATGTTGGGAAATAAGTAAATACAAACTAGTAATCAGAAATAGCAGGTAAACCAGAATCTATTTTTTTATTATTAAAATAATAATATTATAGCTACTAAGCAGAAATTCCTTAAAGCCCACCTTTAATTTCAATGAAAATTAAAAGGAACCTTACATTTTTTTGTGGAAATATAGACTAGTACAATCACTATGGAAATCAGTATGGAGATTCCCCAAAACTTAAACAGAAATTCCATTTGACCCAGCTACTTCCCTTCTAGGATTCTTCTCAAAAGAGTTATGGGCATCATATTATGGTGATTCTACATGAATACACATGTTTATAGCAGCACAATTCATGATAGCTAAATCTTGGAAGCAGCTTATATGTTCACTAGCAGATTACTGGATAAAGAAAATGTGGTATTTACACACAATGGAGTACTACTTTGCCATAAAGAAAGATAAACTTGCATCATTTGCAGCAAAATGGATACATCTTAAGGGCATAATGTTAAGAGAAATAAATCGGACATACAAGCTGAAATATTGCATGGATGCTCTTATACGAGAAACCCAAAGTATAAAAAAAGCACAATATAAAAGATGAAAAGGATAGCTAGATCTTTCTCAATTGAGAAGAAAATCAAGAGATGATGAGAGGGGATAGAAAGGGATGTAAAAAGAAATTAAGATGCATTACATAGATGTATGAACTCCACACAAGGAATGTAAACATTATGTACTACAAACATCGAATAATAAAATGAATGAATCAATCAATGTATTTGTAGTATGTAGAAGTTTCCAATAGATATACTTTTTATGGTATACTTTTTATGCTCTGTTACTGTTTCAGAAGCTAGGACAGTTAATTGCAGCCATTGAGGTATTGGAAATACTATCTTTAAGTTAAGATAAGACATGGAATCAACTCAAAAAGGCTTGGTGAGTTGGGGTAGTTATTTGGGAGTATAAAGAGTTCCATGTGCTTGGCTACCAGCTCTACTGGTCCCCAGCAAACTTTCTACTGGAACATTAGGCTATTGGCTTCAATCCAATTCCATGTCATCCTAAACTTCAACTGTCATATTTGAGAGCTTATGGAAACAAAAACAGAAAGGCCAACCTCACAAATTTAATTTAAAATAGAAAATATATTTCAACTCTGTACTATATTTGTAATTTTTCTGTACTCTAGAATTGTTCCAAAATGAAAAGCTTATTAAAAATGTATACTGTGAATAAATTTTTATTACATGGCATCATTACTGAATAGAAATACAAAAATTAAATTTATTTTTCATATTTGTCCACTTTGCCTTACCTTTCTCTCTGAAAATTTTCTAGTCCAATTATGAGATACATAGTTGTTTCTCTGAACTTCTTATAATCCTGATGCCACTCCTATAGGAGAAAATTATGAAAAATATAAAACTTATAGTTACAATAAAATTGTTTAACAATACATTATTCTAATTACTTCAAATTAAGGAAAACAAAGAATTCAAAATCAAGATTAACTTGATCTAAATCAGACTGTGATAAGACTCCTTATAATAATATAAAAATTATCGGGCCGGAGATTTAGCTCAGTGGTTTCACTGCCTGCTGCGCAAGCGCAAGGACCAGAGTTCAATCCCCGGCACCAAAAAAAATAAAAATTATTCAGCATTGATGAGGGCAAAGGAAGAATAATTATTTTTCTTTCAAAAATTCTTCAGTATAAAATAACATTATTACTAGAATATTAGTATAGTAATATTTATCCAAAATGCTTGGGGTCAGATGTTTCTGTGATTTCAGGGTTTTGTGGTTTTGGAATATTTACATTGACTTTACCAGCTGAGCATCCCTAGTCCAAAAATCCACAACCTGGAATGCTCTAAAATCCAAAACATTTTGCACATTATTTTGGGGCTCAAAAACTGTTGAACGTGGAAGCATTTCAGAAAATGTATCTCTATCAACACTAGAGACAGGACATTCATGATTTATTACTTTAATATGTATCAAGCCTTGAACATAAGCTGCTTGACACAATTTAAGGGAGCAAAAGAAAAATGTTATACATCTATGTAATTTTGGCTAATTTGTGATAAATCTCCCTTTAAATGTAGCTGAGAAGTCTATTTACCTGAGAGTAAATGAAAGGATGGCAGCAGTTCACAGTTCACTGCCCCTTCCCTCCAAAATAATTACAAGGCACATATTATGGTAGGTGATTCTGAGTTGATGCCAAAAGTAGAATTATCTCAACTTGTTTAATAAAAATTTACTCAAGAAAAAAATTCAAAATAGGATCAATATAAAAGAATATCAAAAAATGTTAAAGCTTTTATACACATATCATTGTAAATAAATGAAAATAAGAAACATGTAGACAAGCTATTGGCCAACTGATTTCTCCCTGAATATAAATTTTATTTTTCAAGGCATAAGTTTCATACTACTAAATCTTAGTAAACAAAGACAAAGTTAATTCTGAAAGCATAAATTTAGCTTTTCCAGGAAAGGTACTCAAACTGCCACTCTGTGTTATCATTAGAATACCCTTAGAAATTCTAATTAGACAAACTTTTCCTTGCAAAGGAATGAGAATAAATGTTTTAAGCTTTGGAGACCATACAGTTTCTGCTGCAGTTAAAAACTCTATAATAGACAATGTGTAAACAATTGGCTGTGTTCCAAAAAATTTTATTTACAAAATCATGAGGTGAATGCATTTGGTGTGGAGGACAAGTTTGCTGATTCCTGAGCTTAGAGCAAGGAAAACATGTGAAGAATGTGCAAAAATGAAAAAACAATGTCATTTAAATACCTGTACAATTTAATGGCTCATCAGTTAAATAGAATATGAGATTTCAGAATAAAAATACCCTAAACACAATCTGTTGAAACCCGGGAGAGGAACTATATAAGCACATCTTAATTAAAAAGTCCCATAAATCCTAGAAATAAGGTCACAGAGGAACCAATTTTAAGAGCACAGATTCAGAGCAACTTTCAGTAAAAGATGACTGTATATTCGCTTCTCATGGTCATGAGGAAACAAAATATCTATGGCTCCAGATAACATATGTTGACCAAAAAATCCTGGTTAATATGTTTCCTTAATTAATAAACATCTGTGTACTTTGTCCATGTTAATTTCTAGAGGGCTTCATACAGAAGCCTTTCAAAGTGAAATGGATTTAGTAGATGAGGTGAAGCTTAATTATGTTGACTTGATTGGCTTAGGAGCTGCCTAGGGGATTAGTAAAGCATATATCTAGGTGTGTGTGGGTGGGTCTTGCAGGCTTCACCTTGAGTACTATATCTAATCCCTCACCCCTTCTTGTCTGGAGCTGCTCCCTTGCTCTGCTTCCAGGCCAATATGAACTAAGCAGCTTTGCTTCATCACACCCTTTATAATGTTCCACTGTTGAAGTCAACCAACGAAGGACTGAATGCCCTGAAATCATGAGTCAAATAAGCCATACACTCCTTAAAGTTGTGTGTGTTAAGTATTTGGTTCCAGCAAATGGAATGCTGACTAACAGAGGAAACTGGTGCTACAAGTGGTGTCATTATTGTGATTGGATTGAGAATCCTTTAGAACTAGTTTGTGAGAAGAGTTTAAAAATGTCAGAAGATGTGCAATAAGAGCCAGATGGGTGACTATATTCAGATCTCAAAAGATCAGAAAGCTAATTGGAATGTAGATAGTAAAGACCAGGATCAGGAGTACTCAGTTGGAAATAAGGGCTCCATTGACAATTGGATAGGAACTACATGTATTATATTCTGAAAAGAAAAGTACGTTTTGCTCATGTTCTGAGACTGAGAATAATGGCAGTGGACTGACTGATCAAGTGGAGAAAATTTTCAAGGCAGCCCAATGTACAGGCCGTCATGGGTACCATTGTCTGTGTTACCATTGTCTGTGTTTAGCCAAATGCACAGCAAAAACTGGGAGGGAAAAACACAGCAGAAAAATGTGAATAACTCAAATTTTGGCCCAAGAGGAAAGACGTGTAAAGTAGGGGCCAAATGAGGTGTGACTGCTGAGGAGGATATTACCACCATTAAAAAGAAACTATGTATTTTGTAGGGGGACAAGAAGAAAGATGCACCAAGGGCATTTCAGTAATCAGAAAGACATCATTCATTGCAGTATTAAAGGTGCAAAAATGTCAAACTTTCCTTTCTGAGAAAAGTCCCTGGAACTCCAGCTGAAGAATAGCTTCCTTAGGAATTGGCTCCATGGGATTCACTTCACGATGCTCAGCTCTCCAGGTTCTGAAGAGGCCACTCACTGCAGCCATGGTCTAAAAAAGCATAGCTATTGCTCCACCACACCCTTCCTCTATAAGCAGAACTTGCCATCATCCATGTGAGGCTGGTTTTACTGGCATGCAGAATGCAAGAGTTGTGGAGTTAGGTAGGCTTCCACCAGATTTCAAAGGTAGGTCTGGAGGGTCAGGCAAGGAGGCCCTGAGAGGGCAGTGTGTGAAAATGTGGGAATCCAGAAGGTGGTCCAGTGGAATCCTCAGGAAAAAGGAAATGCCAAGAACATGAAACAATTGCTCAGGAAAGCTTCAGGCTGTGAGCAAAGCCAGTTCAAAGGAGAGAACATGTGAACTGAAGCCAGCAAGGTTATAGAGGTAGGCCACCCACACCCTAAGGAACTCGCATACCATGTATAGCCCAGATGCCAGATATGGAGCAACAGGAATTAATGTTGGTACTCCTGTCCTTTGGTCCAATTCTTTTCTACCCCTGATTCTTCCCTTTTGGAATGGGATAGTTCACCATGTGTCATTATACTCCGGAATTATGTAACTTGTTTTTGATTTTTACAGAGATTCATAGGTTTGCTTTGTCTTAGAAAAGACTTTGACCTGGATTATTGAAAAACGTTTGTCTGTTAAAACTTTATGGTAGAGATTATTACATTTTCAGTCATATGCAAGATAGCTGTATCATGTTACACAAAATTATTAACTTGTGTGTTTATTTGGAAAATACGGTACATGTCAAATTGAAAAGGGGTGGAATGTGGTTAAACTTAATTGTGTCAACTTGATTCACTTGGAAGCCAACCTGGGCATGATTAAAGAATACTTCTGGTATGTCTGGGAGAGTCAGATTAAGTGTGACTTTCCATTTATATACGGTCCCTGGCCACATTCACTCTTGGCACTGTTCCTCTGCTGTTTCTAGGGCACCATAAATTAACCATCTAGTTATACTCCATCATGCCCTTCCTCTATGATGTTCCTCCGATAGAGCCAGTTTATCATGGACTGAGTCCCTTGAAACTATGATCCAAATAAACCTTGTCCTCCTTTAAGTTGTGGACGTCAGGTAATCGGTTCCAGCAACAGGAAAGCTGACTAAATAGAATATAAAGTACAGAAAAAATCCTTTTTTTTTCACTCCCAGAGACACTTATTGAAAAGCATTTCTACTGTTCACTGATTTACCTGACATCTCTGGCACATTTATGTCTATATATGGGTGAATCTTAGATTCACTATTCTGATTTACTTATTCCTATGCTATTACTATAAAGCTGTAAAAATACAAACAGTATATCTTGATGTCTAGTAGAATAACCCTTTCTACCCTTTTCTTGAAGAGTATCTCAGGTAGACTGACACCTTTGCATTGCCATATAATTTTTTAGAGATTATCAAGCTCCATAAACAACTTAGAATTTTCTCAGGGATCACACTGAAATGATACACCATCTAGCAAAAACTGACATTTTAAAATTTCAAATTTTCCAAGTATCATATGTGCATTTATTTATGTGTTCTTTAATGTTTCCCATTAAGTTTTCTTATTTTCTAGACAGATGTAATACACATATTTAAGGTATTCCACAGATTTAGATGCTACTGTAGTAGGGTCGTTTTTATTTTTTTCTAATTATTAGTTATGGGTGCCCAAAATAAAATTAATTATTTGACACAGATTTGTAGGACACAATGCTCTTTTAAATTTACAAGTATCTGTGGGTTTTGGTTTAATTTCTGGTTATAAAAATCTGAAAACAATGACTTGGTTTTCTAATCTTTTACTTTTTGCTAAGTTTTGTTGCCTTACTGCCTTTTTCCTTACAAGGAAAGCTTTTAATGTCTGCAATGCTATATATTTGTTGCAGTTTTGTCATTTTATATTTTTATTTGTAGAGACACTTTTTGATGCATTAAAGTAGTTATCTTATATTCCAGATTACCTAAGAGTTCTCATCAAAATTAGTGTTTTTCCGTATTCTCTCTCTTGTTGGTTAATGTGGTAAATTACAATTTTATTTAAAGAAATTTAAAGTAAGTTTTTAAAGGAAGCCAAACATTAATCAAAGGCACACAAGAAAGTAATTAAAAATTTACTAAATTTATAAATAAAAAGATAAAACATACAACGTTAAATGTAAAGCCTTGAAGAAAATACTTAGTGTTTAAATTGGTTCATTAAAATAAAAAATACAGCATGCTTTCAAAGCAGCACAGTAGCTGTGAATGCAGGTTCTGTTATCCCCATTATAAACTTCTACAAAAACTTTATGCATGTTCCTTCAGCTATCTACGCCTCACATTTTTGTGTGTAAAGTAAGTAAAGGAGTAAGAATACCACCTACATCACACTGTTACAATCTGGATTAAATCAAATTAATAAATGTAATTTGTTAATTGTTTTTAAGCTAGAAATGTTCAGAAAGTAGGTGAAAAGTAGTGTTAGAATCTAAAAGAGGACTGCAAATAACAAAAACCAAAACTTTTCCCTTTGGTTTTAAACTTTTTGGTATACATGACATTATACCAAATTAACCCCAAAATTATTTATGAAAGTATTAACTTACTTGCTGTCATAGAAATTTAGTTTTTATTTATCATCTATAACACATTTAAACTGAGTTGGGCTGAAGTAAAATGAACATCAGTGATCTACAGAATAGCTTAGTCTAGTATTCACTCTCAATAAAGGACATTACCTCATATTCCTCTAAGTTTACTTCTTCGGGTTTTATCATTTCCAGTTTGGCTTGAGCAACTTTCATGATGTTGTGACATCTTCAAATAAGAAAAAATTTATATTAAATCAAATGCAAAATCCATCAAAAGTGAAAAAAATGTTACACAAAACTAAACAACCAAACACATACAAAAATAAAGTCCACTGTCACTGAATATGCTTAAGGAAATAACTCAATCTTACATGAAAAATGTGATTTCTGAACCAATGTAGGATAGCTACAAAGAAGACAGCGTAAATAATTTTAATCAAATTTACTGTGTAATATTTATAATTGACTTTCAAGTTAAATTCTATTAACACAGTGTCCATACATAAGGAAAATCAAACCCAGGGCCTCTAGCATGTTAGGTAAGTACAGTACTACTGAGTAGTATCTCCAGCTTTTCTTTTTTTTTCCTTTTTAGTGAGACAGGGTCTCACTAAATTGTCCATGCTGGCCTCAAATTTCAGATTCTCCTGCTTCAGCATCGTGAGTAGGATTACAGGTGTACACAAATGTGCAAAGGTATGATCTAAAAGTGGAGTGAATGTTTAAATTTTAAAACGTATTACAATTCCCATTAATCTTCAAAGTACTCTCCCTCACAGCACACTTATCATATTGTTCTTGCCATTTTCTAACATGGTTTTGGAATTCCTCTTTCCTGAGTATCTTCAGTTGTGCTATTGTAGCTGCCTTGATATTCTGAATCTATTCAAAATGTTGACCTTTTATGGCTTTGATTTTGACTTTGACTTTGAGGAAGAACCAGAAGTTGCAAGGTGCCACATGTGATGAGTACAGTGAATGAGAACACCCAGTGATTTTTTTTACAAGCTTGCCTTTTTTGATGGATGTTATTCAGCAGCAGCACTCCTCACAGTTTTGATCATACCTTGCAAAGACAATGACAGAGGACTTGCAGAACTGTTTCAGAAAGTGGCACAGAGGATGGGATAAGTACTATATGTTCAAAACTAGGAGTGTTTTGAAGGGATGAATGGCAATGTCACTTTTATTGTAATAAATCTTTTGAATTTAAGCATTCACTGCATATTTTGATCACAACTCACATCTATTAAGCAAGCTCAAAAGATATTACAGTTTCTTTTTATCCCCAAATGACAGTATCCTTAAACAGGAAAAAGGAATACAAAAATGTGCCTATCATTTCAGGTAAGAAGAGAAACATTTTAATTGATTATATGATCAGAATCATTGCCAAAGAAATTCCCACAAAATACGTAAGCTCAGGGCTGGGGATTTAGCTCAGTGTTTTCGCTGCCTGCTGTGCAAGCGCAAGGACCCAAGTTGGATCCCCAGTACCACAAACAAAAAAAATAGGTAAGTTTATTTCAAGCATAGAAAGATAAAATTATCAAAATCTACTTGTCTCAAGGACAGATTAATTGAAAGGACTGATAAATCAGCCAGGTATGGTGGCACACACCTGTAATTCCAGCACTCTGCGAGGCTGAAGCAGGAATATTGAAAGGTTAAGTAAAGCCTGGGCAATTTAGCGACTTAGTGAGAACTTGTTTTGTTTCCCCCTCGTATTCTCTTTTTTACACATTTTTTATTCAGTATTTTTGACATTCATAAAAGGATAATCATTTGTTTCAGAATTAAAATATAATTGTCATGAACTTTAAAGCAGCACGAATGTTTCTGTAAACTAAAATTAACCTTTACTACCTTGGACCTTTACCTAGGGTCTAAATTATTTTTAATGTCATTCATTAGAATTAGATAAAATTTTAAATAGAAGTTTCATATGAGTTTCTAAAAGAAAATGGTTTTAGGTTAAACAAGTTAACTTTCTAAGCCTTCTCTTTGAGTCAAAAAATGCTTAATTATTTTACTTGAATACATGACTAAAAACTTTTTTCCAGTGATTCTAAAAGAATGTCCACTTTGCTCCCCATGGAGTTGAGAACAATGAGAGATGTTTTAAGCTGTGGCAACCTGGAGTCCTACTGACACCTACCAGGTAAAGATGAGGGATTCTGTAATAGCCTAGAAATCAGAGATAATCCAGACAATGAAATTATCTGACCTAAAATCTCCCTAGTATGGAGGTTGAGAAATCACATTTTTCTCTAAAATACTGAATCTCATAAGGAATAATTTTTTCATTCATAATTAAAATGATAAATTATCAAAATTAATTTTACTTCAAACTTTTAAAAGTCCAGGGTTACAGGCTTTAGAGAAATTACATATCAACTCTGAAAATCAACTAAGATCAAGTTTTGTGCTATATTTGTTAAAATGTGTTCATGCATGTATAAAATAAAGGTACAAAAATTACTTTAGGGAGCTGTAAAAAACAAGGACAATTTGAGCATATATATTAGATATTTCACATTTTTATATTACCTTTCATCAAAACTCAAATTTCTATCACCAAATTGTTCTAGTAATGTTTTCTCAATGATTTTCTTTGGGGCCTGGTTTTGGATAAAGTAGACCACTACATGATGTAAACGATAATCTGTTTCTGGTGGGGTGTCTTCTTGGGCCAACTTAACCAATCTTGAATACTCCAATTTAATTGCCTAGAAATGCAACAAAAATGACAATTTTCATCAACTATAATAATTAAAATACTTTAATATTACAATTTTAATTCTTTTTGCACTCAAATGTGTTTCTTTCCCTTTTAGTACATTACAAATAAGTCAATGCATCTGAAAGTATTACCCTATGTTCCATGTATTTATAGAATTTTCTGAGTAAGCATACAGGCCATTCTTTATCTCATCACTATATAAACACCCTTTTAGTTCCCACACACAGAAGAAATAAAATAATACATTTAAGCAAGCCTGTTCAAAGTCTAATCAGAGGCATCATAAGATGGACAATTAAGTGTTTCTATATTATTTTACCTTTCTAGCATCAGTTTGAATATCCATATTCTAGAACTGATACACAGCTCCATAGAATACCCCTATCTCAAGAAAATGGCTGGGTCATAAATGCATAGTTAAACTACTACAATTAACTTAGCCGAACAGTACACAAATAAAGGACTAACGCAAACCCTGAGGGTCTAGTTACCACAAAGTGAATTCCTTACTGTTACAGTAGTCCTTGAATTATATTTTGATTTTATTGAATCAGATGATTATATGAATATATCAATATTATCTTGATGCTTTTTTTACAAACATAAATATCTCAGAATTTACAATGTGAAATAATGTTAATACATTTCTACATATGAGCAAAATTTAAAATTTGATGATATATGAATATATTTTATATCAAATAATGCTGTATACATGAAGTTCACACGATAAAGATAACACTTTTAAACATGCATTTATATTAGGCCTGTATCTAAATTTTAGCACCATTAGCCACAAAACACTTGGGGCTCCATGCCAGATATAGAGTATTTCAAGAAAACCACTGTATTAGAATTTCTTTTTAACAGGCGGAGATTAAACCCAGGGCTTCACACATGGTACTCTACCACTAAACTATATCCTAATCCCAGAGAAGTTTGGTTTTTCAAATGCATGCCGTCCTTACATAATTGTTATGGCTGCGTTTCATTAAAAGGAGGAAAAGTAACAATAAATTTTAAATAAAATATTGTATTTATGGAGTATCATATTTCATCAATGGAAAGGTTATAAATCATTTCTATTCAGCAAAATATTATAAACAGAATAAGGTAATCATTTTTTTAGCTAAAACAAATTACTCAAATAAATTTCCCAAGGGGAGGGAGAGAAGATTGGTTCCCTACCCCAGGACATATGTATATGTCATTTTAAAATCTTACTGTTGTGGTTAAACCCCTGGCTGGACCACTTAGTAATTCATTGAGACCCTGTCTCAAATTTAAAACTAAAGGGCCAGGCATGTAGCTCAGAGCAGAGAGCTGGATTCAATCTCCAGTACTGGGCGGGAGGGGGACATAAAAATCAAATGTAGTTTTACACTTGATCTTAGCCAAAAGGCTGAGAAGTGATTCAAATGTGGTTCTGACATATAAAATCATCAAGGTTCATTGTGTGTCTAATTAGCACACACAATCTTTAAACTTAAAAAAATCTTATTTTCCCAATTTTGGAGGGGGTCCATGTTCATTTAATAACCAAAGTATACTGAATTTTAAAAACATGCAAGAGTAAAAAATCAATAACTGTACATTGTTTATATGGTTGTTATAGACCATTAGAAGACTTTTAGAATAACAAATATTTCAGGTAACATGAGTTTGGCCAGAATGAGTATGACAAAAATAAAACAAATTTGTATTTGGTTACTTAAAATAATATTGGTTTACATATAAGGAGTTACCACATAGAAGTTTTGAATTTTTTTGCAACTAGCAGATTTCTGTAAGAGTAATGAAATATATAAACTCTTGTACTTTATATGCTTATCTTTTGATTTTGCTCAATATATAATTTTTCTAACTTTCACAATAAAGTTACAGTATTTTTCAAATATGGGTCTCTAAACCAGAAAGCTAGAAAGGAATATCTAACTTTTTAGGAGTTATTTTTCAAACACACACAAACACACACACACACAATTTATTTTTGCCAGCAGAAAGGCATTTCTAAACTATTTCTCAACCTTTTATCAATTTCTTTAAGGAATTTTGACCTTTAAAATATGGTGGAATCATGTCTATTCAAATTTTCAACAGATGTTCCACGCTATTACATTTAGCAGAAATCTACACAATCTGTCATTATGAGTAACATTAAGATTACGTTAAATTGCTTCATATTCCTCTCAGTATCCTGTTCTAGAATTAGATTTCCCCATATATTTTGGGTGCTTATGATAATTATTTTAAGATAATTATTGCGAACACTGCATACTTACAATGAGATACTGATTATTAGATAATGGAACTGCTTTGGATTTAATTTTTAAACTTTTTTTGCCAGATTTTAATTACATCTAATTTACCTACTAAATCTTATTTCCTATTACTCTTGTACCTTTCACCCAAATCAGGCTTGTTTCCCCACAAATGCATACAAGTCTATTTCTTAGCCTCTTTTTTATCTGTTTATCATCTACATATAGATGATCCATTCATTAGGACTACTTGAAACCACTTCTATAAAACCTTCACTTCCAAAGATCTAAATGATTCCCTGTATTTGTCTAGTTTTTCAGATTGTACTATAAATCATGTTCTGAATTTATTTCTTCTTACAGACCTTAAACATTAGAGACTACTAAATATGTAAGCACAAAATACGTTCTGGGAACAGTTAGATCTAATGGATGATTAGCTAGATTAAGATTCAGAAATCTAGGTATATCATTTAATAATTGTAGCATAAAACAAGACATATATTGTTCTCAAACCTAGCACTATTATTTCTAAAATATATGAGTATACATATATAGTACCATGTCGTGGATTATTTTTTAAAAATTTATACTGTATCAAGAGATGAAAAAAAACCTAACTTCAAATTAGAGGATTAAAACCAGAGGCCATATTCTTTTACTATTATTTAATAAAAACAGAAATGTAAATAAATATAAATGTTTAACAGATTTAAAAATAGTATTCTAAATTATTTTGCAAAGGAATAAAAATTATATTCCTACTGGGAATATGTGATATCAAAACCCACAGGACTAGTAGTCAAAGTAAAATTCCAACATAAATAAAATAGAATTAAGTTAATTCCAGGAATTTAGAAAAAGACAGAAAATAAACCAAAATAAAGTAGGAGAAATAATGTGACAATTCAATTGTCAAATGATTTTTCTTTCCAAAGTTTGATGAACGACCAAAAAAGAAGATTCAACACTAGAAAGAAAAAAGGTAGTATATAATATAAATATCCAGACAAATATTTTGAATGTATTAAATAATAAGCATACTGTCAGTGAACTAGAAGATCTTTCTTAAAAAAAGATGATCATCAAGGAAAATACAAATTGCTGAAACTGCTTTGAAGAAGCAGGAAGACTGAAGAAAACTAGCAAAACTGCAGAATGAAGGTAGCCCTAGATCTGTACCCAATAAAGGAACCAGGCTCACATTGTTTTAGAGCTGCACACTTCAAATTTTCAAGGACTAGATGTTTCCTACGGTATCTCAATTGCCCTGGAGCCTGAGGGGCGAGAGGAAAGAAGGCCTCTTCAATGGTTATACAATGCTAGTTTAATGTCAATATTAAATGTTGACAAAATTAAAAAACATAGATAAAGCAATAGATGCTTTATACGTTCTCTACCAATCCTTCCCTCACTGCTGGAGTACAAACCTTATAAAATGTCTAAAGCCCAATACCACTCACCTTAATAAAAAAAAAACATTGTAAATAACTCACTGAATATAATATAAATACATAAAATTATTTAGTTTTTCTATCACCTACTCTTACAATAACTTGTTAGAAAAAGTGGGGCAAATGATCCAATTCATAAAGGTGAATAAATTTAATACTTCCAGTAATAAATTAAAAGTATAGTAAAATCATTATGAAGAAAAATTATAAAACCTTACTAAAAGACAAAACAAAGGATGACAAAAGTGAAAAAGTTTGTCGTGTTCCTTCTGGGAAATAACCAAAATTGTAAACAATACAATTTTTCACCTCAACTTAAACTAATTAATAAATATAATGCAAGTACAATGAAATTCTAAAAGGATTTTGGGAACTGACTCTAAAATTCACCAAAAAATAAAAAACTCATCAAAGTTTTTGTTTATAAAAGAACAAAAATTTGTGGTTCTCCTAAAAAATGTAAAAAAATCTATTACAAATATTCCATAATGTACTAGGTACACTGTTCAAATATTTAAGAAATAGTTCATTGGAATAGAGACCTAAGCAGATTCCTATAGTGATTTAGTATATGATAAAGATATTTGAAGACTGTATAAAAAGGATGCTTAGTTAAAATTTTATGCTTTTAATATTTGGAAATTTTTCTGCATGGAGAAAATTTAAATCCTGTATCTATTAATCTAAACAAAAACTGAAATCATGAAATTAGAAGAATTAAAGATCTGTATAATTTTGGAATGATCATATAGCTTCAAGCCTATAAAAATACTTGCTATATTTCATAAGATTAAAAATTTCAAACAAGCCAGGTGTGATGGCACATGTCTGTAATCCCAACACTCTCTCTCAGAGGCTGAGGCAGGAGCATCACAAGTATGAGCCAAGCCTGGAAAACTTAGTAACCTAGCAAGACCCTACTACAAAACAAAATGGCTAGGGATGTAGTTAAAAATCTTTAGGGCTGGGGATTTAGCTCAGTGGCACCACACCTGCCTTGCAAGCGCAAGGCACTGAGTTCAATCCTTGGTACCAAAAAAAAAAAATCTCCAGTATTACAATTTTTAAAAATTCTGTACAATAAGGCATGAAAAAAATTTAAAGTAATTACAAATCACAAAATATAGTTTGCAAATTATGGATGAATCTTAGCTCATTTAACACAGATAAAAATCCATAATATAAACAAGGTAGAAAGAAGATCATCAATGCCAACTGCCATAATATTTATGAAAAGATAATGACTCTCACCAAAAATTTTTTAAAAAATTTTAAAAGGATTACATTTTTATGCCATTTTGGCTCATATCCATTAATAGGATTAAAAACCAGTTAAGCATTTGAAGGTAATTTGACAGTCTTTTAATCACTTAAAATCTGCACGCATTTTGTCAGTTTTACTTTTTTATGTTCACGCAAATGTTCAACAATATATGTTTATGAATATTCAGGACAATAAAAGAAATAAGCCAAAAACCAGCCACAAAAATAGTACTGGCAAATTTAATAACAACTGTTAATAATTACCAAGTATTCTTTATGTGACAGACACCATCTAATGAGCTCACATGGATTAGTGATAGTTAACTGATTGTGTCTGAGTTTGAAACATTCAGATAAGTTAGATCAACATAATTCTTGGTGTGGCTGAAGGGATTTACTGAAGACATAAAACCCACCCTGGCTGTGAGTGGCACAGCCAAAAGGCTTGTCACCTAATGGAATAAGAGGGAAGCAAAGAAGGAAGGCTGGCTTCTGTTTCTTCAGAGGGGATCGAGTCTTCACCTTCACCTTGGATGTCATCTCCTGGCCTCCAGCACATATCCTTCAGCCTTCCATCGCAGACCCTTCGGCCTCCTGATACGGACTTGAATGGGACACTACAGTGAGCTCTGGGTCTTTGACTGGATACTTTGGATCTTTAGCATGCAGACAGCCCTTCTGCACTCTCTACACCTGACTCTCCCTATATATTTGTATATCTTGCATTAAATCTTTTTCTCTAGTAAGCATTGACTGATGCAATTACCTTACCTAATCTCAAGATAACTTCTCATTTATAAATAAAAAACCTTACTGATAACTTAATAAATTGTCTATGGTCACAGGCTTATTAAAACAATCAACAGAATAGAAGCTATCTGTGAAAAGAGAATTAAGAAGTGAGAAAAAAATACTTAAAATCTATATTTTGGTAAATGTATTAGTTTATATGTTATTTTTCTCTAAGAAGCCCTCTAGATACCAGCTGTTTTCTCATTTTATACTCTTCCATATGAAATTGCTCATTCAATCATACCGATTACAATTCTATTTAATGCTTACTTCCCCATTTGGAAATAAGTTTCACTAAGGCAGAAGCTCAATCCACAATTACGCAGCTATAGCCAATGAATTTAGGGCAATGCCTTGTACACTGTTATATTAATCAACAGTAGAATGGAAAAGGGTTATAATATAGCCCTATCATTAAAGATCATGATGACAAATTAACTGTGTTCAGTGACACAACTACATTCAGATGAAGCTCCAAACATTTCAGATAACTGAGAAATTTCATCTGTGTAACGTAACCGCTTATTTACATTGTTCCTTTCCTCAACCTCACAAAGCTTGCAGTCTCCACAAACACCCTAGTAGTCTGTACCCCAAAATGCTATTTAAGCTTTAGTTCTTTGGCTCTTCCTTTGAATCTTATATTTTATGTATGACCCCCCTGTTTGTGCATGCTAATAAATATGTAGCCTTTTTTCCTGTTAATCTGTTTCTTGCCAGCTTATTTAATAGATTAAAATTATCAAATACTGGCAATTTCTAACAAGATGAATAAAAAGACTGGTATTTTAGAAAATAAAGGTCCTTGACACAGAAATGGTACACTTGCTTTCTACCTCCTACTGTACCTGTACCAGAAATGGACATAAAGGATGAGGCCAATGATAATACTAATAAGAATAATGGCTAAATTTAGTATCAACCAGATACTACTTTCATTATATTAACATTTAAAACTGACAACCCAATAAAATAAAGTTATTATCATCTCCATATCATACCTAAGGAAAGAGACACTGAAAGATTGAGTAATTTGCCCAAGATCACAGCTACAAAGCAGTGGGCCAACCTTCTGACCCAAGGCACTTTGATTTCACAGATGAAACTTCAAGCTATTTCCTTCCTATGTTTCAGCTATACTTAAAAGTAAAATGGAGGGGTTGAAGGGAGGGCTGGGCAAGGGTGAAAAATAAGAACCAAGAGAGATTATGTCAAGATGCAAATTTCCAATGATGAATGTCATTATATTGTATACCTAAAATGTACCACTGATTAGAATGAATAATCGATAATGCAAAATAGGAAGAAAAGGTCCAAAGAGGTAGGGGTAGTGGGAGGGGCAGAGGAAAGGAAAGAAGGGAAAGGAAAAATGATGAGAAATGGAAAAAATGGAAAGAAAGTCTTTGTAAATAGGGAAGGGTGGAGGGTGTGAAGGGAGGGCTAGGAATGGGGAAAAAATAAGAACCCAGATGTATTATGTAAAGGTACAATTCCCAATGAGAAATGTAATTGTGTTGTATACCTACAATGTACCAATAAAAGAATTTAATAAAAAAAAAAAGAACAACTAAAAAAAAAGTAATGCTTCAACAGAGAGAAAGCAGGCAAGGGAATAACAATAATAGGAGAGTGGTTAGTGAAACACTTAGAGATTATGGAATAATCATTCTTAATATTAAAGAGCAAAAGTTGCAAATGCTATGGCCACGAGTCAAATTTCAAACTCTATAGAAACCATTGCAGAGCTATTTGAAAATTGTTTCTTACCTCAGATTCATGAAGCTTATTAACTATGGCATTTATTTTGGATTATTCTATTGAAAGCTGTAATATTCTAAAAATCTGTTTAAGAAAATTCCTCTCCTCAGTCCCTATCTCACAAACTTGCTTACTGCTCTCTTTCTAGAGCATGTATTCTTGCTGCACCATCAAAATCAGAAACTTTTTAAACAAGAAATACATGTGATATAGAAATAACACAATAGAAAAGCTACGAAATGAATCCTCGGGGTGATGGTGAAAGGAGATTTTAAGTCAATAGCTATGTTCCAGGATTAAAGGAGTCAATCCAGACTGGACTCTTGTCATTCAGCTCTGAAAAAACAGCGCCGCTGGCATAGTGGTATCATGCAAGATTCCCATTCAGCTCTGAAAAGAGACTTTCCCAAGACAGTAAACTTTATAAAGGCAGAATAAGAAGAGACTTAAGCAACTGGTGGAAAATGTATCAATAATATACACGGAAAACTGAAAAACAGAAACAACTGCAAGGAAAATGAAAACCAAGGAAAAAATGTGACAACACAATCTCATATAGATATTCAGTAATAATTTTATAAATGTAGACTACTGTCATGCTTGCTTCCTTCTACTTTCCCTTTCCCTGCTTCCTTTTTTTTTTTTTTTTCCCAAGAGTAGGTTTCCAACCTTTCTCATGGATGGTAGCAGGGTGATCAACTTTTCCTGGATCCAGCTTTCTTAGAATTTTCACAATTTATCACTTCAAGTCCTATATATCAGAAAACTCCTCAGTCATAGGCATATTAGGAGTTGATCACCATAATTTTAAAATATTAAAAAAATTTATAGGTACAAAGCTATTACACATATGCCTTTTGTTTTATACTGTATGCTGAAGAAAATAGTAAGGCAGGTAGCTTTTTGAAGACAAGATTGGATGATAAAGAAATATTAAAAATTAAGGGAAAGTTTTAAGGCCAAAAAAGAGAAAGGGATATATTAATTTACTACAGTGACTTACATTTCAACAAACTTAAAAAAAAAACATTAAAAGGGAGAAGTGACACTTTTAAGATTTTTAATGTTTCTAAATAAAATGACAATACATACATGGTATTTTCATCTTTCAAATACATTTTAAAAAACACTGTAATCAAAATATTATAAAGCTCTGATGATTAGAGGAGAAAAGATGTGTTCATGGAATAACGCATGTGCATGATGGTTGTGTGTCTTCAACAGGATATTAAAAATTAATTATGGAGAAAGAAGTGAATAAGAAACAAGAAATAAATAAATCATTTTTAAAACAATTAAATGAAGAAAGCAACTTAGTATCTAATGACAATAAAATTAAAGGAAAAATATCATACTACTGACCAATAGTATGAACAGTGGGGAAAAATAAACTATTACCGGAAGCAATTGCTCAGCTCACATTACTACTTATTAATATTAATACCCTTATTCTCTTCAAATATAAAAGATAATTCAGATTTCTGAATCAGAGTCACATTATCCTTATGGTATATTCAGGAAGATATGTTTTGGCTTTCTTGAATGAGTGGATTAAAAGAAAAAGAATTTTGGATTTGCGTGTGTGTGTGTGCACGTGCGTGCGCGTGTGCACGTGCACACATGTGTAAAAGAAAAACAGTATCAGGTGGCCATGGCTAAAATAGAAAGAGAAATTATACAGGAAACCAAATTTAATTGAAAGAAATAAAACATTTAAAGAAGTTTAATTTTAAAAAGAAGGAAATAAAATGAAAATTTTAATTGTACCTTAAAGAACCCTGCTTCAGGGCCACACCTGTCATACACACTCCTGGATTTACCTATCGCCATGATAATACCTTGCATACTTGGGGTCATCATCATCTGCCACAGGGATTTAAAGTAAGAATTTTTGAATAATTAACATTCAAAAAACTAAAATCAAAGCAATTTCTTTGCATGCAAGTTAAAATGCCTTTGTTTCCCACAATAAGTCAAATGCTGCATTTCAAAAATTGCAAATGTGATCTGATGTGCATGTAAGCATCTTTCAAAATCATCTGTACAGGGGCACAGCTGGCTCACATGGTGCCTTTGTGCAATGGCAAAAAGGCATACTCTCTAAACTGGACAATTTTAAAAAGTCACTCCCTCTTAGATAAACCAATTGGAAAAGTATGCTGCCCTCTTCAGTGCACTCTTTAGAAAAAAGCAACACTGTTTTTTAACAATTAAAAAAGATGCTTCTCCAAGAATTCTGGAGTTCAGGAATAGCTCAATTTTAGTTCCACTTCTGGGCCTTGGCTAAGGAACCCTGCACAACCCTGTACAATCTGCACATCTGTAAGCAGCAGCCTTGAATCCATATGATTTATTTTTAAGTTCCAAGGCACATGCACTGTTAAACTGTCACTTTAATAAAAACAAAACACACAATTCTGACAGTACTTGCACAAAAAAGATAGTGTTAAAGAATTAATCACAATGTTTTTTACATGCCAGGAGGCTCACCCTTGATCAATAAATGAATATTCATACTAAAAACATGCAAGTTTCCATAACTGTCAATAGCCAACATGGCAATAAAATAGTTAACTAGAACAATATAATGCTGTTAAGTACTAAAGGATTTGTTTTCAGAATAGCTTATTATTCTTAGCTGTTTACATCTTAAAACATCTGTAAAATGATATATGACCCGCAATGTATCTAACATTATCTGCTTTAGGAAATTCGTTGCCAGTTCCTATTTTCACAAATTTACTTATTAATTTTATGCTACGTATTCTTACATTGACATAGTGATATTAATGTCTTTACAACACCTCTGATTTTAGTGATTATTATATAATAGCAATTATAAACTAGAATAAGTATGGAAAATTTTTCATATATGTACATTCAATTCTCATCCACATCCATTACAACTAATAAATGATAGAATACAAGTTCCCTCTCCAGTCACCTCACTCCATTAATAGGCATGGTCTTCTTTACTGTTACTATTCAGGAATAGCTTTACTGGGCCTCCCTCAAATACAGAAAAGAAAATTTTTAAAAAAGTATCAAGAGAAGAGTGGAAAAAGGGTGAAAATAATCTGATGGACCAGAACAATAGACAATTTTCATCTAGATTCTGAAGAACACTTATCATAAGAAACAAAAATGCCTCTATATTGTTAGAAAAACTAAGGAGATGAGAATAAATCCAAGAACAGATGAAGAAATAAGGTGGAGGTGTCATAGTGTATAAAACACTGTCAAGCACTCAGTAATTCTGATGAGTCATTCCATTCACTGTCACAGAAGTTGTAGGAGCAAAATCATCAATCATCTATCTTGAAATAATGTTGGAAGATTTTCTGGTAAAGTATGGTGGACAAACTATAATAAATTATTCAAGAATACAGAAAAAACTAATATAAAAATTTTTGCTACATTTAAACAAATCTTATTGTAATCTGTTAATCTGAGAGTAAACTGATCCTAGAGCTACATAAAAGAACTCTAAAATATAAAATTATTCTTTTGAAGCTTTTAGTAAGTTTTCTATATAAACTTTCATTTAAATTCAAAGTTCTGTTAGTAACTGGTAATTTCATACCATGAGTGAGTGGTAAAGCTGTGTGTTATGCAGTGACAGAGGTAAGTGTGAGGGCAGAAGCATGCCGAGAGTAACTGTATTAAAGAGCAAACAATAAGGATGGTGCAGAACACTATTAAAAAGGTACCTCGTCATCATACCCCCCCTCCTTTGATTCAATCATAAATTTCCCTAGATGAGGAATCGCCACCTCTACAACTTGCTGGTTGGAAGGTGGTTGACTTATGGTATTTTCAGGTTTCTGCAGAAGAAAATCATTGGTATGAACATTAGAAAAGAGAACAACAAGTTTAAGCACACAGACTCAAAATCTCTTAAAAATATCTGTATTTGCTAGACATAAAATAAACCTCTAAAAATAAACACTAGAAGAAAATGCATTAATAAAATAGTAATACAAAATCTACAGTCTTGCTCTTTATGTTCCAAACATTTATTAGTATATGTTTGTAATACATAAATGATTACTTTCATTGTGGTAAGGAGATATTTGTAACATATCTTAATTCTTTTTAATTCATATTTTTAACATATCTTAATTCTTTTTTTTGGTACAGGGGCTCGAACTCGGGTCCTTGCGCTTGTGCAGCAGGCGGCGAAACCACTGAGCTAAATCCCCAGCCCACTTAATTCTTTTTATCACCTTCCTCCAGCTCAAGATCAGGTACCCATTTACCAAAGATATTTCTGTAGTTCCTATTATGTTATCTTTTTTTTCTACTCTTTAAATTATTTATACTTTGGGTTCCTCATATAAGACAATGTATGTGTATTTAAGCTTGTATGTCTGATTTCACTTAACATTATGGTCTCAAGATGCATCCATTTTCCTACATAACAATTCAAGCTTATTCTTCTTTATGTCACAGTAATACTCCATTTTGTATAAATACCGTATTTTACATCCCAAACACTCTAAACTATCTTTTCAGTAATTTTCCACAAAATATTTTGGAGTCCAAATACTTAAAAATAATAAATACTGGAGTATGTTTCCTACTACTGATTGTATAGCTGATAAGTTTTAATTTTTTTAAACTCCATAAAATCCCAAAAGCTTCTTCTTTTTTTTTTTTTGGTGTTTTGAAACAGGATCTCAGTATGAACCGTAGTTCCAGCTGGGCTTGAACTCACTATGTACCCCAAGATGGTCTCAGACTCATGGCAATCCTCGAGGACTGGGATTATAGGCATGTGCCACCACACCCAGCTCAGCTCCAGAAAGCCTTTCTTGATATTTCAATAAAAATATGATTATGACTTCCTCTAAACCCAGCAGAATTTTAAGGTTTTCTCCTCATTCTATTCCTCCTAGTAGTCAACTGTGTATTCAAGTAATATCCACACACTACCAAGTTTAGCTGACTCTGTGCAGCCTACAAGATTCCAGTACCGCTTATCTGCCTAAGTGTCCAATGACCTCTTACTGAAAATACCTAAAAGCTGTTGGAAAGTGATGCTCATTCTTCACAATTCAATTGGATCTATTCCTTTTTATCATTGTTAACAAAGTCTATGAATTTCACTAATTCATACTAACAGAGTGCATACCAGTATGGAATCCAGAAAAGTCCACTCAGAAACACTAATATTATTCGCTTGAAATACTATTCAAATTTTACAGTCGTTATAAATAGCATATCCACTATTTACTAATAAACAAATTGGAAAAGTACTGAAGGTACTTGAAACCAGCTTGCTTATATACTTTCAATTTGCCTGTTTTCCCAAATGAGGATAAATTTTAGTTTTGATATAAAATGTGTTAAATTTTAATAAAAAGATTTTATTTCCATTTGAAATACATTTTAAGTAAATTTTAGTGACACAAATATCTTCTGACTTTTCAGAAGTACATATTCTGAAAGTTTTATTAATAAAACAAAACTACTGGCCAAGATTAATATTGTGCTGTTTTTGTTTTTTTTTTTTCATTCTTAAATGTTATTTCTGCAGCCTTGGTTTGTTTTTGAGACAGGGTCTCACTATGTACTCCAAACTGATCTTGAACTATGTAGTCCAGTCTAGTTCTGAACTAGCAATCACCCTGCTTTAGCCTCCAGAGGGCAGGCATGTACCACCATACTTAGCTTTTCAGTTTGAAATTTTTTTTTTTAATTTCCATACTTCACTCAATCCTCAACTTTTCAGAAGAAAACAATCAATCTGCATTATTGTTGTTTTCATGACAGAGAATATTCAGCTAACCCAATACCTAGTAAGAATTGTTTTATAAATGACAGGTATTATCAATATCATTATATTATTTCACTATACTACTTTAAATTGTTTATACTGGACTAATTCTAATTTAATATTAGTATCACACATTCTACAGACATGTGCTTATAAATTAAGAATTTTGAATCCTTCTGACATGAGAGAAGAACTGTGCTGGATCGCTACTCAAAAGAGTAAAATATAAGCAGGTAAATTAAGAAATCTGTCTAGAGTTTATGGTGATAAAGTTCACTTGGCAAATCAATCCAAAACAATTCCATCTTAGAAACAGAAAATAAAAACAAGGAAAATAGCTACTGGGAAATGTATTACTTAGAATACTGATCCTTTTAAAGCAACATTATTTCCTTGGAGGAGAGTGGTGGACTAAAGTTAGGGAAAAATACTTATAAGCCTTTCCAGTTACTGTTGAAGAGTTTCAACAGCATAAATCTGATTAATTATAAGAGTATATGCTGAAAAAGGGAAGATACTTTAGCTACATTTAGTAATTCGACATCATTCCTCAAATTTAGATATACTAAGGTAATATAATTTTTTTTCACAAAGAAGTTGAAGGCTCATTGAAATAAAGTACATGTTTATTTATCTTTTTGTATTATTTCAGGCTTTAATGAACACATCAACAAGGACTAAATGTGAAAAGTTGAAAAATAAGTTCTTCAGTTAAGATGAAAAAACAAGTAAAATACTGTACATAGAATTTTATTAATTGTCTGAAATCCATTAATCGTATGATTTTTGTTTAAAGTGACCTCTTAATAAGGGTAGTAAGAAAGCTGTAGAGTGATAATGTGTCCAGCCACATTCACATGCTATCCCTTTTAACCTAGTAATTCAATTATGCAGAGTCTATTATAAGAAAACAGCCTGAAATATGGTGAAAATTTTATCTGACAGCCCATTTATAATAATGTAGAAATAGAAACAAACAATGGAGGAATGGATAAATAAGAATTTACTCAGTGGAATATAATACTCATCCCTTAGATGATTTTTACTGAGTTTACAATATGTAATGGAGAAACAGGTATAAAGTTAAGTAAATAAAAGAAGGCAAGGTAAGACAGAAAATTTCATAGTCAATAGAAATTCAATTATAAAAATCCCAAAACTATGTTTAAAAATAAGAGTGACAAAAACTCAAACCCTTGGATTGAGTGATTAATTTTGAGTATGAAAGAGGACTATGCATGATTCTTTCTTGGAGTGTACTTTCCTATACTGTATTATGTAAATATATTAAAGTATTCCATTTAAAATTAAAGACATTCTTCTAAAAAGTATGCTGTCTAAATATCTGGAGTCTGTCTATGGTTTCTGTGGTGCTAAATTTTCCAAGGAATTTTTATTCTAAGTTTTGAACTTAATATACTATGTATTTGTGAAGTGGCCAGGGTTGAAGTAAAAGAAGGAAAGTAGTGGCTATTACATGCTATGACTGGCACTTTATAAAACAATACTCTTCAATAACCCTACAATCACCACCATCTTATGGAAAAGTATGACCTAGAGAAATTAAACAATTTATTTATTCAAAGCTACACTACCAGTAAGAAGTAAAATCAAAATTCAAAAACACAGAAATACTTGATCTTAAATCTGAAGATTCTTAATTACTAATACTTCTAATATACATTAAACTTAAATATGAAAACACAATATGAAGCAGGATCCTCAGCAACTAAGCAAGAGACAAAGAACCGTAGGCCACTTTTGTTGACCAAGGCTAACAAATTCTTAGACATGCTGCAGATTATACAGACAGTGAGGCTAAATGGAGATGCCACTCTCCCATGGAAAAAATTTATGCTGTTTTTCTATCATCTCTCCCTGCCTTTTTCAAGGAGAGATGAAGAGGTAGGTTGCTTGTTTGTAAGATGATATCCATAGTAAGAAAACTAAATAATCAAAATTTAAGTACCGATTTCTATGAATTTCAGTTACTGATGATTAACTAAACTAAAAAATACCATGATTCTATAATAAGCTAAGTAATGCTTTTGGTTTTCTGATATCAGCTTAAAGGATAACATTTATTAACCTTTAAGTTCTAGCAAATAAAAGTACTAATTAGCAAAAGCTCTGCAATTTAAATTTTTCTATGGAGCAAAAATATTTCATCATGTACCTATTTCACTGTCCTTTCCTAGGTTTTCCCTATGTTTTCTTTGACCCATCCCCCAAGAAATCAAAAGACCTCCCAGTTCCATTAAGCAAAGTATTTTCCAGGAGTAGCTTCAGAATTTTCAGATGTTCATTTTAAGTACATTTATAGGCTCTACAGCATTTGAAAAATCTGGAATCACAAAAAATCTATTAAAATTAATAAATATTTCTCAAACTAGAAACGAAGGATAAAGTAATTTTTGACTGTTATTTAGTTCATCAAAACACAACAGAATACCCTATTTACTGGACATTTTGGTTAACTAAGGTCTTACACTAAATGCAATTAGTACCAGGTTACTGCTAAGACTGAGTTCAATCACCAAGCAGAAATTATATGTTATAAAATTATGATATAACTGGCTAACTTTAGTTTTCTAAAGGGGAATCCTCAAATACTAAATGATTTACTTTAAAGCCTGCATTGAAAAAATAAAGTACTAGAGAAAATGAATGGTTTTCTGTACCAAATTCTTGAAATACCATCCCTAAAAAAAGTCATATTCACTGATATGACCTAGTCATTGATATAACCACATTACTGTCCTCAATTCAGTGTTATAAAAAATGTGCTTAAAACTACAATACAATAGGATACTGGCAATATTTCACAAAACACTGTCGAACTATGAACAAACTGTTTTGTAACATTCTGTTCATGCAGCTAATACTCTGTAACCTACAGTACCTAGCAGTCTTATTATTAAACACATTTCACAAAAAAAAAAAAAATGGAAATTATATCTTAAATCCCTGACCTCTCTTATGTAATCATATTACAGATGGAGGGAGAGGTGAGGGACAGGAGAAATAGTGTTAAACTTTGTACTTCTCTTTTAGGTTCCAATTCAAATAATCAATTTAGCCTATGGTCATGATTCTTCATAATTCTCTGACTGGAAGATAAAAACTTAAGAGAAAATAATCTTTAAAATTTGAGGTTGAAGAAATTATAGTCCAGGAACAAGGCAACTTGCCCACGTTCACCAACATGTTCATGGCAGAGCTGTCACTGGACCTTGTCTCTCCTGACTCCCAGAGAAGTCGCTCTCCATGAAACTGTAGGAAAAGTCACGAGCATGGCTATGTTCAGAGAGCCAAAAGAAGAGTTCTTACCGACTGCAAAACTGTCTCAGGAGTTTTATCTTCATTCTCATGTGATGCCTTGGTAATTATTCGAATAGTTTCTTCTTTCAAGTGCTTTGAGAAATCACTTCTCGATGGCTGCTCTAGATATTCTGGTTCTCCTGCTTGCGCTTCATGAGAAAAAAATCAATTGCATATCTAATGTAAATCACAAAGTCTATACTAAGATGAGCTGTTTTTCTAATTCTAAAGTTATACAATAACCAATTTAAGGCTTCTATTTAAAGTAAAACATATCCTTCAATATATGGCCCCCCAAATTTATAAGAAAACAAAATAAAAACCCAGAACCAAAGATACTCAAGTAATTATTAAATACAGCACTCATTGTAGTTATGATAAGGAATTCATAATAAATTTTTCCCAACATGAAAACCAAAATCTCACTTCGGAAAATCGTCAGGATTTTACCAACAAAAGATCTGGTTTGTCCAACAATCCTGGGCTGGGTTTCCACAAAGAAGACAGTACCTTTTAACCTGACAAACCTTAATCTTTCTGAACCTGTTCCAACAGATGACTATCACAGGGAAAGCAACCATATGTTGGTAAAACTAGTACCAATATAAGTTCATGATTTCAAATGCCATGCATGTGAAGATTTTTATTTTATCTTCAATTCCTATCTTTTTGAGCTCCAGACTCATTGAAGAATAACCTGAATATCACTGAGTATTTCATAGACAGCCTCAGCAACGCATAGGCCCTTCCAAGGCTGTATGTCAGTGGCCTTTTGCCACTCTCCAACATCACCTTGTGTCCTTTGTTCAAAAAGGTCCACACACAGCCTGTTTTCACTTCTCTATACCCTGAAGGAATTTACCTTCCAACCTTTGGATCAAATATTCTTCCCTCTTGCTTATAGACTCACTCCCTCTCTTACTTTCTCATCCTAGAACTTTAACATCCTTTTGCTTAAGTATCACTTGTATGTGGAAGTACTGCTATTATCTGATTCTAGAGCAGGGCTTCTCAGTCTCACCATTATCAAGGTTTTGGTTCCAGTAAATCTGTGGTGTGGAAGGCTATTCTGTAAACACCAGCATCTACCCACTACATGCTAGAAATACTGCTCCTCCATCTCAAAGTATGACAACTAAAAATGTCTCCAGTATAGTCAAAAATCTTCTTGAGGACAAAACCACTCTCAGATGAGAACCACTGTTCTTGAATAATTTAAACTTTCCTTTTAAACATCATTTACAAGTATAACTTAATTACTATTGTATTTATTTAAAGCACACATCCCTTGCTAGACTATCAGAATTCCAGAGCAGGGATGTCACCTCTCTTTTGCACTGCTAAAACTTCAATGCCTAGGATAAAACAGGAACACAATTTATGAATTAATGACTAAATTAATGAATGGATATGAAGAATAAGAAAATAAAGTAAAGTTTCTACATTGTTACTAGACTTGATTAAAGGAGTTCTTGCTGAGCTACCTAGTGAGACACAAGAGAGCTACTGTCATCTTAGCATTGTACTGAATTTAAAAATCTCCAAAGTGAAATATTATTCAAAGAACTACTGTATTTTCAACATATACACATGGTCTTTCATTTAGCCAACGAGCTTTAACTGGCAACTATGTGCCAGATACGAGGCTAGGCACTGGGACTCCAGGGATGACAAAATAGCATGGCGCATCTCCATGAAGCTTACAGTCAAGTAAAAGTCAACAACCAAATAATCACAGAAAAAAATTGTTGCAATATTATAACAACATTCTAAGAATAAAATGGGGGTTTTGTGGTATGGGCAATTTAGCTTGTGAGATTAGGGCAAAGTGAAAAAAACTGAAGGATAAATGACTTGTTTTGCCAGATGAAAGATTAAAGAGCCCATGTGATGAGATTTGGCTGGATCTAAAGAATAAACAGTATGGCTGGAGTAGAATGCAAGAGCAGAGATATGGCAAGAGATTATGCAGCTAAGGTGGACACATAAACAGCCCTTAAGTCTTGTAACTATTTTGTAGGCAAGAAAAAACGAGTGAAATTTTAAATAAAATGGCAACATGGCAAGTTTAAACTCTTCCCCCCTGGGGCTGGGTAGGCAGTTGAGCGGTAGAATGTTTGCCTAGCATACCCAAGACCCTAGGTTCAATCAGCATCATAGGAAAAAAAGAAATTATTAGGGTTATGTTGTGAAGGATGGATTGCAGAAACAAATAAAACTTGACATCAGTGAACGTACTAGAAGGTACTGTAGCAATACGGGAAAAAGATGATGGCACTTTTAGATAGCAAAGACAAAAATAAAGGCAGAAGTGGATAGATTCAAGGCATATTTTGAACACAAAAACTGGGAAACTGCATATGAAGATGATTCCAAATTTTCTGCATGAGTAACTCGGGATGATGAAGGTAAAACTTCCTATAAGGAAAACCAGAGGTGGGAATGCTTAAAATGTACGTAACAAGGAAGAAGTGGGCTAGGAATGGGGAAAAAATAAGAACCAAGATGCATTATATAAAGGTACAATTCCCAATGAGAAATGTAATTGTGTTGTATACCTACACTGTACCAATAAAAGAATTTAATACAAAAAAAAAAGTTAAATGGGCCATATTGCTTGACTTTGGATAGACTGAAATACATCCTCATGTATTTTATGCTCCCACATGAAGAATAAAGTAAAGAAAATCTTAAGCTATTCCAACTTAGCAATGCATCTGCTTCTAGACAGTTTCATGTAGGTGGCTTAAATTAGCTGCTTTAGGGCTTAACAGAGGAAAACTTTTGTTAATAAAGCTTTTTATTGTGTTTGCCACTCTTCAACTCTTCTGACTATACTAGAAAATGACAATGGTTGACAGTAGGATGTGAACTTAATGTAAAGAGAGGCAAGAAATTCATCTGATCTGATATTGACCTAAAAGCCATTAATACCTAGAGTTTAAGGAAGTTCTGAAAAAGAAAAGTAATTTTAATTGATTAACACAGTCAAATCTACCTTAGGTCACTTGGGCCAAGATTTTCTTTTATCCAGAGGTTTGAGTCTAAAAATCTTATTAGTTTTTCAAATGATTTTGAAACTCTTACAAGGTTTTCAAATGATTTTGCATAAATGTCATGCTGAAGAAGTTTTTCTAGAATTTTTCCATGCATATATCTTCTAAGGAACTTAAATGGTGTTACAGTCACAGTATGTATATCTACAAAGATTCAATACTGTTGGAAATCGAAATAAAAAACTGAAACTGCATTCCCAACATGTTTAAACCTACATTACCTTCAGTACTGTGCTAAGTGTTTACATACCTCATTCATTTCAAAGAACTCTCAATAAAATTAGATAAATATAAAATCTGTTGTAATATTACGTTCTAGACACAATAAACAAAACATACACTTAGGATGGCATTGTATATCAAATAAGACTTTCTAAAAAAAATACCAACTCAATCTTGAAGGATTTGTAGATGGGATTATTTGAACATGAAAAAGAAGATTCCAGGTAGAAGAAATAACATACACAAAAGCACTGTAAAGATAGATAAAAAGATCAATAAAATCCCTGTTTTCAATGACCATCCACACAGATAGGCATGTCAAAACATGAATACAACATAAAGAGAGATATGACAAATCTGGTAATGGGAACAGAATGGGATGATATGAAAAGGATTCATAAAGACTTTGGAATTTGAGGAGGATTATTAAAGAACTGGCAAAACATCATGAATACTGATTGCAAAAGTGTATTTTTTTTTTTGGTACCGGGGATCGAACTGAGGTCCTTGCGCTTGTGCAGCAGGCGGTGAAACCACTGAGCTAAATCCCTGCTCCTGCAAAAGAATATTTTAAGATGGATACTTTAGAAGCAAAGCCATGATGATAGGAAAATTGCTCACATGTAAGAGAAATGGAAAGTCACCTGGTTTAGATGACACATAAGGTATTCACAGCGAAAAAGTCTTGGAAGAATAGCAATAACAGAAGATACTCATAAAAAAGACAAAAAAGCTTTGTCTTCATTTTATCAAACCAAGAGTAAAAATAGATTTACTAGAACAAAAACCCAAGATGAAGAAAATCAATAGTTCTTTCCACTATCCAGAGAGGAAACCTTAGTATTTTTTCTATTACGTATATCCAGACTTTATCTGCCTATCTATACTTCTTAAAAGTATTTATCTACATATGTTGTAACAAATAAAAATTTTCCTATCAATATAATTTTTATTGGTTAAAGTGAGTTGTCCTATATGAAGGGCTCATCACCATTTAAGTAATTCCATTTCATTGTTAAGAACAGCAACAGAATAACAAAAGGTTTGGCTTTACAGATAATACATACAATATAAATATAAATATTATATATACATACATATATATATATATATCTCCAAGGATTTTTGTTCAACTTCTAACACTATAAAAATCTCATCGCTGCATTTATAAAAGGTAGAAACTTAGTATGAAGACCACAGTGTTTTCTGCATCTATCCTATGTCCTAGTTGGCACTTTATATACTAACTGGTCTTAATGTAATGGACTGTACAGGCCACAGTGTGGAAGACCCAATACTTGTTAATCTTACTTCCTGGAAGTCTTCCTTGATTTCTTATCATCTACATACAGCTATAAACTCCTAAATGCACCCATTTCACTATGAATGACTAATTTTCTATGGAGGTATATAATACACTTGTACCTAAATTATTTCTCAAATTATTTATTTGTTGCATGAGTGGCTCTGAGATTTTCCAATTAGTAGCCTCTACACAGAGATATTTTTAGACATGCAATATATGTTATGTAATGTAGTGTCTTCATTCACTTGCCTGCTATTTGAGAAGACCAAGCATTCTAAAGTTACTCTGAGTTGGTTCCTTTCGCATACGTTCATTCATGTTGAAGTAAGGGACTGAAGAAGTTTGAGGCTTTTTTACTTATATATATTTTCTGGTTATGGTCATCAACATTTTAACAAGAGGGTCAACTCAACCACCAATTGGCTTCCTATTAAAATGTAAGGATCTGTTCTTAATCAAATATGAAAAAAGAAAAATCTCAAATTTCTTTCAGAAGTATTTTACCTTGACTTACTAATGAGTCATACTTATTACAATCACACTGAAAGAGATTCAAAGAGGATTACTTGACAGATATGCATCCTATTAACAATTCTCTAAAAGTAGCTTATAGAGAGTCATGCTGGATCACTTGCATAAAATCACTTACTATTGGAACTTGTAAGACTACAAATTTCTGGGTCCCAACTCTAAACATAGTCTCTGGGATGTGAAGAACAGAGACATAGAGTTAAAATTACTCTATGTCAGAGAGCCACATTCTTAACGCACACTTTAACCTTTAGCATCTTTACTATGAATTACTTTCCTTATACTTGAGAATTATGTATTCTCTTACACTGAGGATCACCCTAAGAAACTCATTATTAGAATCTCCACTGGGAAAGAACTCAATTTAGACAACATTAAGGAGCATCTACCATATGTCATTTTTATACTAGATGCAGGAGAGATAAATAAAACCATCCTGTTTTAAATGAATCTAAGAATATTGACTAGTTCCTGCTTTCAAAGAATCTAAGAATATTGAGGACAACAGCTCTTTTACCAGGTCTTACTCTTAGGACCTAATTTTACTTTCCTAGAATATCAGTTTTGTTTTGCTTTCTTTAACTTGTTGAGAAGACCCAGAGCAGGTTCTCTGGGCAAATTTAAGAAATCTTATAAAATATATTTCATATCAGTCATAATCACTTCTACCTTATTATTCCTATCCTTATATTTGTATGGTTCAAATATACATTTAATACATATATATATTAAAAATTTGATTATGCTATACATATTATAACAACCTTAAATGCTTTTTGGATAAGAAAGGAGTAAAATAATAATTCAGAAAGTACTCTACTGTCCTTCAAAATAATTTCCCTGTTGTATAAATAAACCTTGAGTCAGGCTGACCAGAGGTATACCTCCAAATTGTCTTAAAATCTTTCAACAAATATATGTGTGTGTGTGTGTGTGTGTGTGTTTTTCACATATATATATATATATATATATATATATATATTATGCTACATCTTAGATGGGATATTGTTCATATTGAAGAGAAAAATCCCACTGGTAATTCTAATGTGTACATCCATAGCAAAGGACTACTGGCTAGAAATCTGCATAAAAGCATACAAGTAAGCTTTTCTTCAGAGTAACCAAGTTTGGGGAGGTAGCATAAAATGGACCAAATAATAGTTTCCAATCATTTATCACTTAATTCTATTTCAGTAGACAATAAATGACAGTGAAGAATTAATGCTAATGGATTTTCCTGGTCATACATGAGAACAAATGCTAATTTGACTAATATTCTATATATATATATTAATATTCTTATTTGAACTATCACTCAGAAATTAATTTTAATTGGGTCTTCTGTTACAGCATTATTAAAAAAATTTTAGAAAGGAAAATCACTTTGCTGGTATTTATGAACAAGATTTCCTTGTACTACTCCCACAACCACAATCTTGGCGCATATCCCAAAGATTTAAATAGAGGTTCTCCCTGAGATCCTGGAAGTATTAAGCCAAATTAAACAAATTACTTATTTTGAAATGATGAAGAGAAATAGGAAGAATATGGCATGAGCATTAAAATAAAATTTCTCTACTAATGATAAGATAAATGCTTCTAATAAAATATTAGTTTTATTCAGTTGTGATATGTTAAACTCTCTTGCCATGGAGGATGAATTTGGAAATATAGTATCAATAATTAATACAGTAATAGGAATGAATCTTTAACACAACAATCTGCATCTCCAAATTTACAAACTTGGCACATTTTATTTCTACTAACTCAAACAAAATACACTATTACCTATAGAAGACACAGTGCCTCCTACTGAGGTTGTACTGTCACTGCTTTCTAAAAATGAGCCTGGAAGGTAATTATAACAGCAGTTTTCTGGGAACTGAACATTTCTTTAACTGTTAGTTATTTTAGCTCCTCTCAGAAATATATCTGTATTCCCAAGTTTATTTTATCCAATAAAAAGAGATAAGAAAAGTATATCCACAATAACTACTACTGAATTTTTAAAAAATTACTAAACAGATATAAAAAGTATGGTGGGGAGCACTGATCCTTAAAAAAAAGGATATAGGGTATATGGAAATGACATTTTTGTAAAAAGAGAAAATAAGATGACAAGTATACAAAGTAGAGCAAGGCTACTCCTTATCAAATAGGAACAATACTGGAGAATGTAGTATTAGTTTAACTTAGTAGAAATAAAATGTGTTAGTTCTAAGTTTGGAAAGCCTTATGAGAAACAGACAAGATGAACCAGCAGCAGCTATATAGATTTTAACATTTTAGTACGACAAGATATTAGTGAACTAAAAATAAAGTTTAAGCTCAATCAATGAATGAAGATTTCATTGTGTCTGTGTGCTTAGATAATACTACCACTTGGGCCAGTTATGCAACCATCCCCTTGCTCTCAGTAAGAGTAAGAGCAATCACAAGTGAATGGAAGAATTAATACAGTAGCTCCACCTGGAGCAAGTTCTAGGGAGTAATTTATGAAGGGTGTGTACTGAAGACCAAAGAAGAAATCACCAAGAAATGGAAGTGGCTCAAAAACCGAAGGAATTAAAGTTATGAATCTGGAAAGATAAGTACAAGCTTGCATCAGGCACAATACCATAAAATGGTTCTGGTAAGGTTTGTACTGAAAGAATAATTACACCTAATGTTCAAAATGACTGCTAAAAGCCACTCAGCTAATGCATGGAAACCTAAGAAGATGAAATTAAAAACAACATGCCTCCTTAAAAAGTAAAAACACAGATCTTGCAAAAATAAAGGTTATTTTTTTAAAAAAGGGTTCACCCAGTTATGAAAAGAAAAAAAGAAAGACATGAGTTTGAGGAAATTAGGTTTAATTCATATACTCATTTTGTCAACTAATATACAGAAATAGCACTTTTTCACAGTACAAAAGATGTGTAAAATATATTTGCAACTCTATAATGATGAAATTAATCTTTTAAAAAAATATAAAAATACTCTTTTCAATTTTGCCATAACATATTTTCCTCATTTTCATACAGTGCTACTCTTAATAACCTATTGATTTCATCAGCTGTTTGAGAATGGCATTTTAAAATATATTTTAATGAATTATCTATTTTATAAGCCTATACACTTTTTAAACTTGTATTATATCAAATATTTAGTCTGTGCTTTGTATTGAATAAGAATTTAAAAAGGAAATATCCTGTATTACTCTATTTTACTATTATACAAAATATACATGAGTATATCAATAGCATTATTTTTATAAAATTTGAAATTAACGCAGTTTATTCTCTCTTTTTTTTTTTTAAAGTAGGAAGATATTTACTGATAGGAAAGCTCCTGAGGGGCAGGAGGGGTCCCGAGTGGGTAGCCCAGCTTATTCTCTTGGTACAGCTAGTTTGGGTGGATTGCTCCCAGATTTCACAGCTCCTCTTGCTTCTTGGGAAGAAGAGAATGGCCCACTCAAAGCAGGCAGGGTGGACAGCAGGCAGGGTGAGGGTGGACAGTCAGCAGCATGCTGAAAAAGATTCACATCCACCCTGAAAAAGGCCGTATGAACAGTGGTGTCTGGCCAAGGGATAACTAAGATGTTACCAAATCTTATTGCTGAGTGATAAAATTCCAGATGATTTCTATTGGCTTCTTCACACTTGAAGATAAATTCTCTGGTGTTTCTTTTAATGAACATAATCTTAGTTTTCTAACACACTGATGATAATGTAAAATACAACTTAATAAAAATGGACAAACCTGTAGTCACAGAAGACTCAGTTTCCCTCAACTTCTGAGATGCTAAAAGCTTTTCCTGCAAAGCTTTCTGGGCAAGCTGCGCATCCCAGTCTTCCAATTCTTTTTCAAATCGCTGGTTGTCTTCCTCAACAAAATCTCTCAAATCTGGTGGTAATGTTTCTATTCCAACAAGGGCCTGTCCAGTTTCCTTATTAAATTCCTCTGCAAATCATATTTCAAAAACTAGTATAAAATTAAGAATTAAAAGAAAAACCCAAAGCTCCAAACAGATGTATTTCAAATGGCACATAAACTATATAATATTGCTGTATAGCAAAGTCAATACTATCTAAACTTTTTAACTCTAACAAATGCTCAGAAAAACAATGATACAAATATTTAATAGGACACTACAGATAATTCCATCAGATTTTTATAATCTGAAGAGTAAAATTTGAGACAGTATGAAACCAACATTTTTATTACTTTAATACTGATGTAGTACTACTGCTGCTACTAAAAGAAATGTATTATTCATGAAGTAAAACTTTTCATGTAGTAAAAAGTAACTCAAACTCATAACAAACTTGAAATAGAACTAAAATTGTCTGTCATCAGAAGTAGTTAAGCATAGCTACTAAGATAAATATACAATTAGAAAACTAATCAATACGGCAAGATGTTTTAAAGCATTATATGATTATTATTTAAAAGAAGAACTCAGCCAGGGGTAGTGGCCTATACCTATGAGCCCAGCACTCTGGGAGGCTGACGCAGGAAGAGTTCAAGTTCTAGCCTTGACTATGCAATCTGGTGACTTAGTAGGACCCTGTCTCAAAATTTAAAAAAAAAGGTCTGGGGATGTAATTCATTGTGAAGGCCCTAGGTATCACAAAAAACAAAAAAATATCCAAGAGTGGCTCAACCTCTACTACACACACAAACACAATATACACAAACTTTACCATTTGAATTATAAATTCATTACTCAGTTAAGTTTTGGTGACTGGTTAAAGTCAGACGCCTTCTATGCTAGGCTAAGGAGTTTAAATGTAAGTTGTATGGATATATTCAAAAAAAGGTTTCTAATGAGGAAAAAGGTCACTTTTACACTTAACAGACAGCTTTAAGTGCAAAACGTATGTCCATTATCAGTTACGATCCTATTACTTTTCAACTCTTTCTCATTTGCAATAACACTGCAGCACTTACTAATCACAGCCATCTCTCTTAACTACCCACGATGCAGAAGAAAGTCATGTCAAAGTACTACCTACTTAAAAATATACATCACCCTATACACTTCATATTCTTACCTTGTATTAAGAATTGCGCCTTATCATTTATGTACATTAAACAGTAAGCACTGGCATTTCTATAACCACCAAAGGAGTCCCTCACTAGCTCTTCCCATGATGATTTTGTCACAGCAATATCATTGTACTTCATCCACCTGCTTTCGTGGTGATCAAAAATGTATGCCCAGTAGTGTCCAGCATTCGCTTGGCCTTCATGAACTAACACAGCATGTAAGCGATAAGGAACCTAAATGCAGAAAGAAAGAAAAAAAGGAGTTAGATTGCATTACGTAAGCTACATACCACATTCCATATTCCATGAAATCTGCAAATCACCTACTTCAGAAAAAACATGGGAGTGCGATAGGATAAAACTGGCTGGGGTTAGAACTTTGAAAAAATTAAACTATAAATTATTTTTTAAAGGAGGAAAATAAAATAAGCTAAAGATATCTAAAACAGATAGGTATGTAAATAAGAGATGATTTTCAAAACTTCCAAAATATATTTGTTTATATATTTGTTGACCTATTTATTTCTTTTGAATAAAAAACTATAAATGATTTTATATTCAACACATGATTTGTCCAAATCATTACAAGTATTATTGGTGGCTAAGAAAATTGATTACATAATATATACCAGCAGTTAAAATGTATATTTAGCTTTAAGGTTTCTCTCTAGATCTTGTAACTTTAAACAATCATATATTTAAGTAATCATATATTTTCTCCCATAGAAATTTTTCAATTAATATGTTCTGAAAAAATTTTATGGCTTTTATTATAAAATGATGAAATGAAGAAACAATAAGTACATAATGAAATGTAACTGAGGAAATTTGTTATAAAACATCACAAAATTTATTTATTTTCATACTGTATCTCCTACTTATATTTTTGTTATAATAAATTCTATCTAAATCTTATAATAAAACATGTAATAAAAAATGTGGTTAAATTACTATAACAAGTTAAAATATTTGTACAGAATTCTAACAATGATTATCAGCTCATAATTTTACTTACTTGGATCATGGATTTGTCAGAGTACATTAGTTCAATTGTTCGATGGATTCTGGATATGCTTTCCTGTAAATCTAAGAATACAAATTGTCATGTAATGATTAAGATGAATTGTATTTATGAGACTTACAGAGACAAAAAAAAAGAGACAAATGTTTTCTTTAAATATATTAGAAAAATTTCTGAAAACTGTTCGTAAAAACCTTACTATTTGGAGTCTGAGTGAAATGAGATAGAATTCTGCTGAAAAAAGAAATATACAGAGCACAAATATATAATTAAAAACCCCCCCAAAATATGATTCATTTAGAAAATGTACAGAGTTATTAAAATTGAACCAAGTTCAAATCTATAAAGGAAGGTGCTACTAGATTTAAAATGCCCCCTAAAAGTCTCATATATTTAGAGGTAGGGATTTGGAAGGCAAATAGATTATAGGGTACTATACTCATCAGGAGATTAATCCATTGATAGGTTCATAGCTGAATGCACTGATAAGAGGTATAGATGGGTTGGAGGAAGTGAGTCATTGGAGACATGAGTTAGAAGAGTATATTATCTTCAGCCCCGTCCACTCTTTCCTGGCTGCAACTGGTTGAAAAACTTCCTTCCACAAGGTCCATCTGCCCTGCCATTTCTGCACTGGAGCCAGCCAACCATGGACTGAAACCTCTAAAACCATGAGCCAAAATAAACCTTTTCTCCTTTAAGTTTCAAATATCAGGCACTTTGTCCCAGCCATGAAAAGTGACTGATTCAGAAAGTTTCAGTGAAAATTAAAGCTAAACCCCCTTACATACTGATGAGAGAACTTAACAATGAAATTAAATAACTTCCCCACATTATCTTGCACATGTATGTAAGTGAATAAAAATAGCAATACCCATTTTTACTTTCAGAAAAAAATTAGCCCTACAAAATTATTTAGAGACATGGATGTTCACAGCTATATTTTCTATAATAATTTTAAAAACAGGAGATAATCTAAATTATCTGTGTGTAGAGAAATGGTGTATAGAGAAATAGTATAATCATGACCCAGTGTGAATCTGTTGAATCAGGAAGAAACAATGACAGACTGCATAAAATATTACTAACTTTAGAGTGGAAAAAGACCTGTTTTAGCCTGATAGAAAATCCAGTACAGTGGACCCTTGACCTAGGAATTCAAATTTATGAGGGCTGGTTGTAACTAAAGTTGGTCAACTGAAGGCTCAGGATCCTCTACACAGCCTTCAAAGTCTCTTTCCTGTAATCAGGCAGATCTCAGTGTCCTTGGAGAAAAATTGGCCCAGGATTTCTCAATGAACCCCACACAGGAAAGGACGTTGTAATGTTCCTTGCAGAACTCTTTAGGGGTTAAATGTGTATCTGAGATATCTGGAAGTACAAGCAGCTGTCATTTGGGTCATAACTTAAGACCTTGTTCATAAATCCAAACTGAAATTCCAGTCACGAACAAAACTGTTCGTATGCCAGGCTGGTCATAACTTAAGGGTCCAATGTAACTCCAAAAGAAATAGATAAGACCCCATACCAAAACTTTTTAGGGCTGGGGATTTAGCTCAGTGGTTCCACCTCCTGCTTTGGAAGTGGAAGGTCCTATGTTCGATCCCTGGTACCAAAAAAATTTCAAAAAAAAAAAAAACTTTTTAAAATGATCTATATTATAAAAACAAAATTCAACATAAACAAGGTCAAGTGATAAATCTGGAAAATAATACCTATAGCATGTATGACAGACAAAAGGTTAATACATTAAACTTTACATTAATCAATAAAAGACAAATAGTTTAATATTAAAAAACAGGCAAATGACACAGTAAATTTAAAATAAATATTCAACTGCAGTCAATTAAGGAAATATAAATCAAGACATTCAAATACCATTTTTCAATTACAAGACAACAACAGACTAAATAAGAGAGAGATTACTGGGAGATTATTAAGAGATACTGGGAGCCAGGCTCTCTAATATACAACTAGTGAAAATGTATACTGGTTTTGAAGAGATAATTTTAAAACAGTACTCAAAATTAAAAATATACATACTTTGTGCGAGAAATGGCACTTTTAAGGACATATTCCACTTACAAAACTATATTAATACATATACAGAACACTAACACCTGAAGTGAGTATCAACATGGATAAGTTATATAACATTAATGTTAAATACACTGTAAATAATAGTTTAAAAATGCTAATTTTAATATCAATAAAGATGAAAAGAGAAAACAAATATCCCGAGGAAAACCTTTCCTGATCCATAGTAATACATATCCAAAACTTTATGACATGAATGTCCTGCAAGTGCTCAAACCTAAAATGGCCAAATAGTGAACTCATCATAGTTTCTTGCTCCTGTGAGTTGGGGACCTGCTTGCCCACCAGTCTGCCTTTCTCCGAAGTATGTTCTATTAGTTATTCATACCATTATGAACTAAGGAAACTGTTTCTGATTCCCCTCCTCTAATCAATGACCTACATGTCTTTTCTCTCTCAGGGCCATTACCTTGGTGTCAAAAGCTTTCTAGCTTCTAACCTTCTGAATATAATCTTGCAAAAATGAACAATCTGCCACATCCAGCAGAAAATTATCCAATACCTAGCATAGTGATCAGTAAACACAGCATACTTAATGTTTGCTGACAAGTTCATATTTTAAAATTCCCTGATCTGGGAGGTTGACAACAGAAGGACTGCAAGCTCAAGCCAAGCCTGGGCAACTTAGTGACTTAATGAGACCCATCTCAAAAAATAAAGGGCTTGGGGATTTAGCTCAGTGGTTTCGCCACCTGCTGCGCAAGCGCAAGGACCCGAGTCCAATCCCCAGAACCAAAAAAATAATAATAATAAAAGGCTGGGTATGTAGCTTACTGGGAAAGTTCTGGGTTCAATCTCCATTACCATTTAAAAAGAAAAAAAAAACACTAAGGAAAATTTTTATAGCTACGAAGGTTAATTTTCAGTCACCATCATTTACTGTATTGTTAGGACTATTCTTTAGTCATATGTTGTCTATAAACAGTGAAGTTGGTCATATAAAATCCAATCAATGTTGTTTAGTTTAATTCAAACTTTGTGGGACAAAATAATAGTTCCTGTGTTATTTTTTAGAGATAAATATAATTAGCATAAAATCAGGGATGATAACAGGATATTATATTTTGAGGTAAGTAAAACACAATAAAATCTACCAAAAATATTAATAACAATTTCACGAAAGGCAAAAAGGTACATTTTAATAACAGAAAAGTAGGAAGGAGGTAAGTTCAGAAAAAAGAATTTCTTTCAAGACAATACAGGGGAAAAAACATAAAAAACACACACAGAGAACACTAGTTTTACTTTTCTTACTCTGCTGAAAGCTAGTTAAAACCCTGTTATATACTGGCACTGAGTTCACACGTTATATCTGGAAAATCTTGCTAGAGCAGATTCAAAAGGAAAATTTGTATTTCTAAATCTTAAGCTTAAAGAAAAATTTTAGTCACTTGAATTTCTTAACTGTGCCAATATTAAATGAAGTACAAAACTAATATTGACAAACTAATGCTGTATGAAATTTCACCAATGGAAGAGTTGTGAATACCAGTTTAATATAAATTTAGAACACTAAACTAGAAAATCAGACCATCTGCTCTGTCATTAATCAGGTAAGTAACATGGGGAAACTCCTTTGGTCCCTGTGACTCTGATATTAAGATGATAAAAATGGGAAGCCAGCCTAGTTTATTTTGCATAAAACCTTTTCTAGAAAAAAACCCCGTAATATTGAAATATAAAATCCAAGAGTTCTCTTTATCAATTTTAACATTACATATATCCGTCTGGGGTGATGGTAGCTGCATGATGAGAAGCTTCTTACCTCTTGTGTCATTTTCTATTTCTGTTCTCCAGCGATGTAAACAGCTTTCCAGTACAGAGAGTTCTTCTTCTGTTATGTGCCTTGGTGCAGGATGCATGGGCAAATCTGGAGGTATCCGAGACTGAGTGAATGGTTTGTGTATTACAGACCTTGATGAAATGGCAGCAACTGAAGCAGGTGATGTGCTGGGCAGTTCTGAAGGAGCTCCCTGTTGTTCTGTTGCACTATGTTTCCAAAGCATGGAATAAAAGCATTTGTTATTAAACCTTCAAACTAAAGTAACAAAATCTGTATTAAGCACACAGCATTACGTTTATAATTTCAAAAGGAAAAGATCTTTAAAAAGAAATACATGGATTGATCCTAATACCCTAATTGAGACTCTTTCTATATAAGAACAAAATTATTAAAAGGATGAAATTGTGGCTTTAGAGTAAAAACCAGTAAACCATATTTATTTTCTAAAGACAAGTAAATCTAATGTATGCCGAAATTATAAAGACCTTCTCTTGGTAATACTTACCAGGCTACATTATCAACACAAATTTTAATTTGAAAATATTATTTTCATAGATCATAAAAGATTGAAACTTACATAACAACACATCAAGACAATTTGACATATAATTCTGAACAGAAAAAACTATTATGAAAATTTCTATTTACAACCACAGTCCACTGATAATGAAATAAAAATGCTCCCAAGAAATCATACAATCTTCCCAGTTAATCTACTCTTTTTAAGAATTCACTAACTTAAATCACACTATGCATTTTATAAACTTCCTTAAAGGCATCAATTATTATCATGTAACATAAGTAATGGAATTGCTTCTTGCATCGAGAAAACTTTTACCTTGGTAACGTCTGTGATGGTATGGAAACAGTAGGTTGGGAGCTAGCGTCAATATCATCAACAGGAGAAGTGCAAACAGGTTTACTTGAAGCAAATTCCAGTGCATACTGTAGAACATCTACCAATGGGAATCGTTTGGGACCTGAACCATAGCTTAAATATCTGTTAACAAGAAAATACATAAATGCTTTTATTTGCATACACAGCACATGTGCGGTTTTTAAAAGTAATTCTTACAAAACGTGATTCAAGAACTCTTCCTCAACAATGAAAGTCATCTACTTTCAAATGAAGAAGTTAAAATTGAATATATACCAAAGATACAAATGTTCTCTAAAGGAAGGAAACAAAACCTAATTAAGATTAAACGTATGTATATACTGTTATAATTTTAAGTTCTAGCCTACATTGTAACTCAACAAGAAGAAAGGAACAGGCAATACCACTTTCAGAGACTATTTATATATTTAAATCTAGCATCTGGTCTCATGATCAAGGTAGAGACTTTTATTGTCCTCCTACATTTTACCTTTCATCACTTTCAAATATAAATATTGACATTTTTTAAGACTTAAAAAAGTTAAATAAGATACACTATTTTAGTAATAAAAATTTAGACTATTAATTTGCAAATTAAAACTAAAATAAATGAATAAATAAATCCTTGGCTTCTTTTAAAAATAATGTGAAGTATTATGAGTCCTTATTCACACATGGCCCCACTCTACCAGAACAGGAAGGCACTCACTGTCTACACTCAGAGACATGGCCACCATCTTCCCTCATCTACCATCTCACTCCTATCCTGGTTCTCTCTTTTATAAAACCCTTGAAGGTGCTGGTAGTTATTTGAGTTTGGATCCCCTGTTATGGAGAGAAACTCAGCTACCATTCATTTTAATAGAAAGTTCAAGAGCAACAGTCTAACCCTGAATGCTAGATTAATCTAACTTTATTTCTATTTTTAGCATTTGGAGCATTACTTGTTGACAGAGACACTGAAGTTGAAACACAAAAATAATCTTTTATAGCCAAATATAGATTATTTACAGATTCTAACAAAACTCTAAACTATTCAACTAGAATACCAACCCAGAATGATTATTCCTATAATTATAAATCACTCAAAGGAAATTTTAAAAATCTAGACAGTCACCAAATATATGAATTCCTATAGTTATGTCATAAAAGTTAAAACACCTTTCTAGTCTTTGTTGTAATACTGTGAGGTAATCTTTAAGTCTCTTGATCTCTTCTCTCTTAATTCTTGTTATTTCTCTGTTTCTGTGCATATACCTGTCAGGAGAAAAAAAAACATTTATAAATATCTTCACTCTAGACACAATGTTAGGACCAGCCATGACCAAAAAAGATCAATTAATGTGAAAATTTACAGTAAGACATCAGACAGAAAAGACAAAATAGTGCTTTTTAAAAATTCTAACAAAATCTTCCTTATAACATTACTCCCAGTAATTATACTTTTCTAATACAAAATAAACTTCATTATTCTTAATAAGGGTATTAGATATATCATGCAAAAGTAGAGATTTTAAGAAAATGAAGCAAAATTTTTCTGTAAGTCCAATAATTATTCAATTACTAAAAGTTGTGTATATCAAACCGTTACCTGTCCAGATACAAAACTTGGGGAAATTCTAATTTGTTGTGAATTTTTTCAGGTCTTCCTAATGCCTGATTAAATTCAAATCTTGACAGTTCAAATGTTAACACAGGTGGTAGTTCAGTAAACCAATGCTGAAAGAAAATAAAACAGTAAAAACCTTACTGTCACATTTTTGTTTTTTCCATTGTAATTTTAAGCAGAAGGTGCTGGCACTGACATTTTTATACATATCAGCTCAATATAACCCAGCAAAGAATTGAGCACACAATTTAGTTAAAATTTAACTTCTTCCTAACAGCTTTCCATACCTTTCCTAAAAGTGGGAGTAACTTCAGGAAAGAAAAAACCTAACAACTGTCCTCCTTTCACAGTAACTCCCCATTTGTTTGTTTGTTTGTTAGTTTTGAAGACAGGCTCTTGTTATGTAGTTCAGGTTGGCCTTGAACTCACTAAGTAACCTAGGCTTGCCCTGAACTCCAGAGATCCTCCTGTCTCATCCTCCCAAGTTCTGGGATTATAGGCATGTGCCACCATAGCTAGCAACAGTAACACTCTACATTGAAATTCTAATCTAAATAAAGAGACACTGATTAAAATCAAGGGTTGATAGCACAAGACTTCTTTCTCAATATTACGCTTAGTGGTACTCATACATTAATATAATAACTACAGTGTTAAAATTCTGGGACAAAGCAATTTGAAATATCTAATATTCAAAGGAAAAATATTTTATAGCATAAATGAGCCTTGTAGTCATCATAAGAACTAAAATATGGCATTTTCCTCCTTTCAAGTTTAATTTCTCTACTGGTATTTATACTAGCTTAGGAAAAAGATCTATCACTAAGAAATATAATGTTTATACTAGTGAAAATTATATTTTAAAGACTAATTTGTTTAAAAAATTAAATGCTTTAATGGCAATAAGTCAAAAAAGAATGAGTGTGGTTATAATTTCCTGCCTGCACAATGTGGTAACTGTTCAATGAAGCATGAAATTCAACAAAACTTGAAAAAAATTATTTTCATGTAACAGTTTCAAGTTTTGCATAAAAATTATTTATAAAAAGGAAAATTTTAAAGCTTGTATATCAACAAATACACAAGTATAAAATGATATAACAAATATTTTTGAAGTGCTTGTTTTTATAAACTATGCAACATCCTACTGTAAAAGAAACTGCTGCACATACTTTACTGTGTATGATAATTTCAAGTGCCACAAAATAGCACCACACATCTGTGAATGAGTTCAGAACATACTAACTTAAATTGAACATCTACAAACAGCAAGAATGATGTACACCTGGCAAAGTTAATTTCAGTAAGATCTTGAAAACTGTTACTTTTTCTGAAAAGCTAATAAAAATGGTTAGGTAAAACTATTTCTCCCTCCATAAACACTAATAATTAGAAGAACTGAGATTTCCTGAGTTGAATATAGGTTATTTTCTACCCAGAGTTAAGACTTAAGCAATATGTTGTATAAGGATATTACCTTTAATAGGTTAAAATTATGCAAGATCTATCATCAGAAACATCTCGTTTTAAAATTTTGTTAAAAAAGGTATATTTATTTTAATCTCACATGGCACTGGCAAAAATTGTTGAGTTCTAATTTATATCTAAAGTCAATGGTAAAGATTAAATTATTTCATATATCTGATAAAGAAAATTTTGATCCTTTATGATAATAAGGATCAAAATGGCTCTATTTTATGATATTCAAATAAATACATGCACATTTCAGTTACTGTTACTTTCATTTTAATAGTTTAAATATCCTAATTAAAATTAAATAGTCACATGTGTTAAGGTTTGGGACTGTACCTACAATGGCTAAATGATATGACCAAACTTATGTTTCTTCTGCAGACCATGAAGTTTTTATCACTTATCAAAGGATGTTTTATGTTCATAAAACATTATATAATAAATATGTCTCTGTTGTGAATACATTTCCTCCATGTCTTAGTTACTTTCCTAGTTACCAAGACAAAATACCCAACACCCAAAGTTAATGGGGAAAAGTTTATTTAGCTCACACTTTGGAGAGGTCTCAGTCCACAATGGGCTGGCTCCAAGGCAGGGTGGTCCGGCAGAAGGTAGCAAAACAACAAGAGACCTTAACAAACTCTTTCTGCCCCTTTTATCTTATCCAGACTACTTAGGGCAGGTAGCACTCACACCCTTATTTCTAGTGCCCTTGAGCCTAGCACTGCACCAGGAATCAATTCCAGCTTCACACCACAATTCCAGCCACCTCTGAAAAAGCCCCACCTATGCTCATATGAGGCTTTGGGGGGACATCTAGACACAAGGCATATCAGCAATGGTAGTTTTTTTCCTACTGTTGTAAGAGTGGAAGGATTTCACTGTCTCATTCTAAAGCCAATGGGCACAAGATGAGATAACCAGACATTCCCTAAGTTCATTTTCAAAACCATTAATAGCATACCTAGATCTGAAGTAGAAGGAATTAAGTGTGGCAGTACAAAACTAGAAACAGGACAAGTTATTTTTTGAAAAAACTTTCTATTGAACAAAAACTGTATTTAGTTCTCCATAATCTAACAGGTATGCCACGCTCATAACACAGACATCATCAAAGCTAAAAGTAAGGTTATTCATTATTGTTGTTGTTGTTGTTGTTGTTGTTGTTACTGATATATAGTTAACCAATAGAAGGAATAAATTCCTGCAGTTAGTGAATAAAGAACTTCAGCACAAAAACTTCTGAATTTGTCATTACACTATACAAGAAATAAATTTTAGGGAAAAATGTATTTTTATGAGGCGTGATAGCTGGTTTTTCTATTAAAGTATACTGAAACGCTTTCATGCAAAGATTACACACGTTGGAAAAAAACAAGAAAAAAAGCAAACAAAACCAGGGGAAAAAAATTCCCCAGACTACCATCCCAATCCAGCACGTAAACTAAGTACAGAAACAAATCCATCCTATTCCAATCCAAAAATAAGCTCCAGTAATTTATTTGGCTTCATTCATTTTTCTTTTCACTTTAAAAGATAAATTTCCCATATAATATCATCACATATCTTTTATGGTGTCAATACTGTCCCCCTTACAGAGGTGAGTACTGAACCCAGGACCTTGCACATTTTAGGCAGAAGTTCTAACGCTGAGCTACATCACCAGACCTAATTTAAGGTTTTATAATACTCAGGGCACTCTAATGACTGTTGTAAGGTTGTATACTAACATAGAAAGATGCTTCTGATATACTGCTGAGTAAAAAAATCCAAGTCTCAGAGCAGTGTGAACAGACACAAATATTTGTATGTGCAAGGCAATAATCTAGAAGAATGAACAACACATTCTTAATAGTGAAGACTTACACCACAAGTTTTTCTCCTCCCAAAAGGCAATCAAAAAATATGTCCAAGTTTCCTGGAGAATCTGACTCATATCATTTAAAATTTAAAAACAGGTTTGGTGAGTACAGCTGTGTGCAATATAGCTATGTTTCAGTCAGTGATAGGTTGTATATATGAAGATGGTTCCATAAGATCACAGAACTAAAAATTTATCACCTATTAACATAATCATGCAAGGTATTACATATTTACAATAATGCTGGTATAAACAAACCTGTGTGGCCAATCATAAAAAACTACAGCATATACAACTGTACTGTACATAATGCTTCACAATGATAATGAGTATGTATTTACTGCATAAGTTTTTTCCATTAGACTATTCTATTTACAAAAAAGAAAACTTTACTATAGAACAATATGCCGTATTAAACCAGAAGCCAGATACCTCACGCTGTGTCTCTTGACTGCATGGAGTGGCCATAACAAGTGAATGATCTACAGTTACACAATGTAGCTTTCTGTAACTATTTTCTATGATACTCACACAATGACAAAATTGTCTAACAATGCACTAATCAGAAGGTCTCTCCATCATTAAGTGACACATAGTGATAGTTATATTTCATATAATCATTTTTAATTTAGCCAGTTGTCAGCTTCATGTATCATTCCAGAAATTTAAACTTCTATAGTCTGCTAGATTTTTAACTTGAGCAATTCTGGACACTGGAAGCCTTCCTAAATGATTGCAGCTACTTTAGAAAAAGACATTTTTTATGCCAAAGTAAAAATCAACAGAATTTTTATAAATGATAGCAAGAAAAAAACTATTACCAGAAATTACACCCATTTACAAATAGCCTAGAATGTTATTTATCAGTCTTTAGAAAAAATCAATTGGTCTCAAGAAGAAATGAAATACTTATTCTGATGGACATAATGAAATAAAATTACAATTTAAATGTTATTGGTAAGTTTCAAAATATTAAACTCTAGTCAGTGACAGTCTAATAAAACAGATTCAATTATTAACAAAACTATTGTTTCCTAGCATATCTACGCAACTGGTAACAGGAATCACAGATAATCAAATGTGCTGTTATTGAAACTGTATTGAACCTATTGATTCAGAGATGATAATAAACTACTGTATTCCTTAAGTGAGAAAAAAAAAATCTAAGTAGAAAATACACATTGGATCATAGGACATTCTCAGAGTATAAAGCCTGTAAATTGATGGAGGACAAAAATGATTTGTTGAAAAGATAATGAAATTCAGATTCTATGTAAGATAATCAATTTTTTAAAACTAGGAATACACAAAGAATCCTAGACTTTATCAACAAAGGATTGTGAGAAAGATTATTTACCAATATACCACAGTGTGTTTCACTAAAAAGCTGCCTTTCCAATATAAAGTAATATGTCATCTGTTCTCCTGCCCCAAATCATTGACCTTTTATTTAATAGCAAACAAACCAGACTTTAGGAGATCTGCTTTCTTGTCCAAACTTTAGAGACATTTCCCAATCAATAAATCGGCTAAATTTAAATGCCCTTAAATGGAGGTCCACATCAAAATCATTTGTAAAGCTGCTGTGTCCATGTATCCTTTCCCTACCCCAGACTCTTGGGTGAGAGCTGTGAGCTGGGATCTCCCAATCTACTGAAAATCACTGAAGCAGATGATCTTATTTAAGAGAAAAACTATTTCCAATATTTATATTATTTAAATATTCAAGATAGTTAAAATATTATTTAAAATAAATATTTTTTTTTAGGCCTGGAGATGTAGCTCAGTGATAGAAAGGCTGTCTAGCACATCTGTGGTTCTGAGTTCTATCCTTAGCATCCAAAAAAAAGTATTTTTTTTCATAAGTTTCTCTGGGTATGCAGAGGAAAAAAGTGAGCACGGAGGTAACACAGGCTAATACCTTGACCTTGATTGAACAGTATAAAAAGACTAAATGTCCGAAATAAAGATTTCAACAAAAAAATTTGAGATAAACTGTTTAAATGATAATTTAACATAAATTACAGATCACAATGACTGTGGGTTTCCGAAATATTCCTAAATTACCATAATCAAATCCAAACATTTTTCTGAGTATTTTCTCAATTATTTGAATATGTATAATTAGAACTCTAAATTGTGTTTTATACCACTTTAAGATCTGAGTATGGAGGGGAAAGATGAAAATGCTAAACTCACCTCTTGCCCTGATTTTCCTGAATTTTCTGAATGTAAAGACTCAATTTCTCCTTCAATCATTGCAGCTTCTAGGCACTCGTGCAGATCTTTGAATCCATTGACCTGCAGTGGATACTGACCAAACATTTCAGTGTTTTCAAATTTTTTACCTAAAGGAAGGAGAAAAGCTAATTAATGTTTCTCTATATGACTTTTCAGCTACTAAAAGTACAGATGCTTTCCTGAACCTGAAAACTAACACTATGTTCCACAGAATAGTGAGTTAGTATAGCTTTTATACATGTGTACATTCATATCCAGCCATAGACATTAATTACACACCCACATGTAATTATATACACCCACATATCTGTACTAGCTCCTGCAAGAAGCACCTTCTAAAGGCAAGACATTGTGCTAAACATGACACATATATGCCATTTATATGACAGTAAACAAGACAGATGTGGTCCTGAGCTGAAGAAACTCTTCAGTCCTGTTTGCAAGACATTATACACATTAATATTGCACATATACTTATAAGCCAATAGTTGTTATTATAGGTATTATGAGAGACATGGGAACTGTTATGAAAGGGTATAAAAAGTGAACCAATCTAGTTAGGCAAAAGAGGTTGAGATCTACAAGATTTGTAGCCCTAGTGAGAATTTTTTCCCTGCATTGTGATTGTAATGGAAAGTCACTGAACAGTTAAGTCTGTTAAGAATAACAGATTTATGCCTGTGAAATACTTTTATGGGCTTTGTGTTTAGTGGGTGTTAGACTGTTAAGAAACTACTACAGATCCATCCACAAATAAAAGTAGCATAGATTAGGGCATTAAGAGTAAAAGTGTATAAAACAGACAAAATTACACACACATCTGTACATAAATAGAAGGAGTACCAATTATACTAAGACTAGCTGTCAATGAGAGAAAGGAAGAAGGACAGACTTCTAACAAGAAGAAATGCATTGATTTGTATGGACTCAAAGTAACACCACTGAAGAAAGAGCAGAAGAATTTTTCCCTTTTGTTTTAGGGAACCAGTAGAAACCACTGGTTCAGAATGGTTCATGAGATTTCACTTTGAGAAGAGAGTTGGATGTATGAATGTTCATTTAGGATTAATAGTCTGGGCTGAAGATATAAACTGCTGGAGAATTACTGGCTTACTGGTACTAGGAAATCAAGACAATTTTTATGGAGACCAAGACTCCGTAAGGAATAAGAAAGGAAGAGGGCCTAAGGCGAGCCCCTAGGATCTCTTACCTGTGGATACAAAAAGCAGATTATAACTTCTAAGAAGTACCCATAGGTATAGGAAAAAAGCCAAGAGAATATGGTGTCACAGAAGTGAAGGAAGTTTTGTTTCTGAGGAAAAAACAGAAAAGGGGGAGAAGCACAAAAGAGAATGGAGTCAACAGCCTTAATACCTGGTTTATAATTCAATGTGAAAAGTGAAACTGATCCAACAGCTTTGCCTATCTATAGGAAATCAGTAGCTTTCAAAAGTTCCCTTTCAGGGGCACTTTGGGGTCAGAAGCCAAAGCAAGGTGGTTTCAATAAATGGGGAGTAAGCAAGTAAGACAAACTTCTTTCTTCAAAGGATTTTAGCTTTGAATAGGAATGAAACAGTATTCAGCCAAACTATGAGATGGCATAACTTTTTTAAATTCTAATTTGTGAAAAATCAGACTATACTGAAATACTGAAGAGAAAGACAGCTGGCAGAAAAGAGTTGAAGATATGAAAAGAGTAGTGAGATAGTAAATTATGGTTTGAGTAAAAGCATGAGGAGATGAAATTCTGAGCACATATAAAAAAGTGATCTTTTGATATAAAGGTGTATCATTCTTTTATTATCTGCAGATAAAATTAATAAGGTGGAGATGGAGTTAAGCATGGAAACTGAGGCACAAATATCTGAAGTGGTTTTTTAGATTTATACAAAATTACAAACATAATATTAGATTCAGGGCCCTGAATTTTATGTTTCACAATGAATCCATCGTATCTGAGGTAAAATGTTTCTCAGAGAATGAAGAGACAAATTAGATCTGAAATGAAAGGAAAAGAAGAAAGTAGCTATTGTACAAAACTGGAGAGAGCACACTAATTGCTAGTGAATCTCAGTTCTCCCTCTCCTTATCCAAGGTTTCACTTCCTCCACTATCATTACAAATTCATGATCCATTACATATAATAGCCCATTTGTGTGACTTTTATACAGAATATTCAAGTACTTGGGAGACAAAGAAGGTGAAAAGCTTAATAAGAGTCAGAAAAGTCAGAGAGATGGTGTCAGAAGAGAATGGAGAAGGATAGTTTTAGATGTTTATAAGAGAGATTTTAATGATGAACAAGAAAGGAACTATAAAAAAAGATTGAGAGGAGCAAAATGCACACATCATTGACCTGGAAGTTCTCAAAATACTACAGATGCCTTGCAGTAGATACCTTAGCAAACAAATGGAAAATTACCCCAAGGAGACTCACTGGTCTTGTTTTGGGGGGTTTTTTTGGTATTGGGGATTGAACTCAGGACCTTGTGCTTGTGAGGTAGGTGACAGAACCACTGAGCTAAATCCCCAGCCAAGACTCACTGGTCTAAAAGGAAGTGTTAGGAAGATATTTTGATAACAAAATGTTCTAAAATGTTATTCATTGCAACAAACACACAGTTCAGGTAGAAATGTAATAAGCAACATGTATTTTATACAACAGTTCTCGAGCAACTTAATAATATGAAGTATCAAGACTTTAACACTGATTAACAAAACATTTAAATAACAACCATTTTTAATATTAAGTATAATCATTATGTACTGCAAACAAGTGTTAGTAAAAATTTTCAAAATTTTAATGAAACAGTATAGTACAGGTAGAAATGCTCATGCAGGATATTATAAACAGTGCTCAATCACAACCTAATTAGGCCTATTTACAGCTTCAGATAAAATTAGAATGATAGTATAGATGACCCAATGTAATATAGTATGTAAAATATTTCATTTATATTATGAATATTTAGCATTTGAAGCAAACAAAAATGTACTAATTCAATCTAAGCCATACTAAGATGTATATGCCTTTTTCTGAACCCCAAATTATAAAATACAAATACTTAAGATCATGAAGGAAAAGCAAATTTTCTAAATTTTATACTTTGGGTGATTTGTAAAAACAACTTTCAGAAGTCGATGCACTAGGTCATTTGAGAAAATCATTTTTCAAAAGTTTATGATTTGGGACTACTATTACATGAAGTAATATACAATGAGTCTGGTTCCCTTCCCTTGTCAGAATAAGTAAATAAATAAATAAATACTGCCTAGGCCCAAATTTTTAGAAACAGATACTTAGCATACAGCCATTACTCTTAATGGGTTTTTCAAAAGAGAAAGTACAACACTTCCATGTAAACTAAAATTGTACCTAAAGAATTTTTTGATCATGTAAAAACTGAGAAACCTGCAATATCCTAACTATGCTAAGGTGCAGCTTTCAAAAATTTTATAAAAAATAAGCAAATATTCTCCTAACACATACTTCCTAGCTTGCATTCAATTCCAATCCAAGCTTCAGCCCTTAACTGAAATGGTCGCGACCAGAAGCATTTCACATTTTGCAGTTTTCCACATTTTAGAGTATTTCCATAGACTTTCCTAGTTGAACATCTCCAATATGACAATCCAACATGTGAAATGCTTGGAAATATGAAACTTTTTTGAGTATCCTGTCAGCTATTGTTCCATCAATCCCTGCATTCCAACAACTGATATTGTTACAGAAGTTCTTTCACTGGAAAGAACATGATAAAATGAAGTAAGTATCAATTAGTATGTGAGAATGCACTCTATATTCGTTTTCATTTAGTTAACTCTGTGTCTTTATGTAAATGATTAATAGAAGCAACAAGGATTCCTAGACACAGCAAATCAAATTAAAAAATAAAACCACTCAAGAAACAGTCATTACCCAAAAAAAAGGTATAATGCTATCTTTTTCCTTGAAATAAACATGTAAGTAAACATGTAGCTATACCTTCAAGCACTCCCACAGCCAGAAATCTTCCATAGAACAATTCTACCATGGGGTTCTTCGGCTTTTCTTCATCCCTAATGCATGTTAAAAATATATAAATATGCTTATGATTTTTTGGATCTATAAATAGAGAAAAAAATTAACAGAACTGTACATTAAACATTTCAATATCATAATTCACAGTTATTTGGACTTGTGGGAATGAGGGAAAGCCACTTTTAATCTGAATAGATTCCTACAAAACTTTTCTGACTTTACATATAAAGAATACACACAATCCAAAAACAACAGCCAACACCAATGACGAAACAAAATGCCAGCTGTGAACCAGAGGACCTAAGCAGCCACTCCATCCTTTTCTCAAGTTTCATGTTGCCAACAGAATTAGACATTTGTGAACTTTCCAAATTGTTTAAGATGAGGGTTTTTTTAAATATTTTTTTTCTGCCTGAAACAAACAAAATAGTTTTTAAATTGTCCTTTTAGGGTTTTTAATATGTGCCCCATAAAGACAGGTTACCTTGGTTTTATTGCATAAAAAATATCATGTAATCATAATTGTATACAGAACTTTCTTGTTTAAATTAATAAAACTGATTTCTGAAGTACTTTTTTTTAGGAGGTGCACTGTCTCTTACTAAATGTATTCACAAGTTACCATTTATTTAATCTGTAGAACAAAGGCACTTTAATAATATTCAAAAAAAACCTGTCAGCTCTTCACTTTCAAATACATGGTAGATGTACTTTCTCCCTCACTTTAATTTTTTTTAAAATTTTAACTGTAATAAAAGGAAAACAAAATTTACATCAACCATTTTTAAACGTATATTTCAGTAGAATTAACTCACATTGTTAAACAATCTTCAGAACTCTTTTCCTCTTTCAAACACTATATTCATTACACCACTCCATGCTTCCCATAACAGTTGGTAGATCATATGGCAATTCAATATTTAATCTTTTGAGGAACTACCATACTGTTTTCCACTGCAATTACACCACTTTATAGTCCCATTAACAGCACCCAAGGATTCTAACCTTTCCACATCATCACCACCACCTATTATCTTCTGAGTTGTTTTGTTGTTTTTGGATGTTTTGTTGTTGTTTTGATAACAGCTATCCTAATAGGTGTGAGATATTCTCACTCACTTTGAAATTAAGCAGGCTATGTGATTTGTCTGACAAGGTGAGCAGGAATTGTTCGGGTCACTTCTGAGCAGAAACTCTTGAGAGTCAGTGTATCTTTCACTGCCAGAGTGACCTCAGAAATTTATAATGAGGTGAAGCTTCTGTCAGCCTGGGGCACAGGTGAGCAGTGCCTCTTGCTCACAGCCACTTAGCACATCTAAGGGTCTATATAAGCTTCCAAAGTTTTGGAGTTGTCACAGAATGACCAACCATAACTTGACTGATAAAAGGTTGTACTGTCTCTCTTTTACTGACAACAAAACTGTAGAACAGGTTAAATCACTTGCCCAAATTCATACTACCAGTAAGAAAAAGTAACCAGATTTAAGAAAAGTCAACTTAAGTCTGACTCCAAATCCCTGGTGTTCTCTCACCACATATAATTAATCTCTGGGCATCTGTAATTAATAAAATGAACTTGAGACTGATATAGAGTACAGGAAAGATCCAAAGACTGTCTTTTGTGGTGGAAAATCTTTAGACACAAATATTAGTGGCACTTTCCATTTCCAAGGCCTCATCTTTCCATGTAGAAAACCAGTATTATAAGCCTCTCTCCCTACCTACCATGCAAGTAAGCTATGGAAAGAAAAATTATCTGATGATTTTTTAAATTGGTAACTTTGCAAAAAGAACTGGGTATGAGTGACTATACTCCAAATCATCCTACATGAATTTCAGTATGCTCTAGACTCACCTATGATACGCACTGATCTTCCCTGAGTCAGGCAGGAATTTTCCAGAAATTGTTTACCTTGTTCTTCTCAACAATCTCTCAGATACTCTTTACTATTTCAATTGTTATTCTCAGGACCCCAACTGTGGTTACGCTAGCAGAAATGTGAAAAACTCAACTGAAAAGCAATTAGACATGAATTTCCTACAATAAAAGAGATAAAACCATCATGTGCACAAAGCAAGAAGAAAACTACATTGCCTCCAGTATCAAGAAAAAAAAGAAAAAATTCACTAAGGAAAACTTTTATCAGGTAAACAACCTTAAGAATTAGGTTACCACAGAAAGTGTACAAAGGTCTAGGGCAGCTGACAGGGTAATCCAGAATTCTCAGGGTCGGTGATCTCCTAATTTTTTAAGACCACTAGCACAGAGAAAACTGGTGTAAAAGAACATAATCCTCATGAGGGGAGAAACAGGATCAATACCTTCACAAACCTGTAATCTGGTTTGCCAAGGAAAATAAACTGAAGAGTTCTGCTTTAGATAGGAAGGACACAGTGGCTCAAAATCAGTTTAGCTCCACAAACAAAGAGCAAACACAATATTACTGAGAAATGAATGAGAAGAAAGATCTATTTCAAATGAGACTTAAGATTCCATACGAAAAAAAAAAAAAGATTCCATATGAAATGGAAAAGTTCTAGCTTCTTTCAAAATAGTTTTAGAAAAGGGGAAGATAGCAATAGTTACTAGATCAAAAAAGGCTGACTGGAATCCAAAGAAATTTAACAAAAAGTAAATAGATAATAAGGAAGATTTCCACAATCAGAATACATTTACCCTACCTGACAGAACAAGGGTTCAGCAAAAAGTAAAATGGGAAGCTACAGATAAAATCCAAGTGGGCAGCCTGGTAGGGTAGCACACATTTGCAACCCCAGCACTGTGGTATAACACAGGAAGATCACAAATCTGAGCCCAGTCTGGGCAGGTTAGTGACTTACGGAGACTCTTTCTCAAAATGAAAGTATTTAAAAAGTAACAGGGGGTGAGTACACAGCTCAGTGTAAGGCCAGGGATTCAAGCCCCAGTACCAAAAAAAAAAAAAAAAAAAAATGGAACTAGGGAGTTGTGTGTTCCACAGAGGATACTGCAAAATACAGAAAATCTGGATAGATCTGAGAGGGAAAACTAAGAATTTCAGGGTAAAACATTCAAGGAATTACTGAGAGAACCTCAAAGACATATAGTTAGTAACAGATGGGGATACAAATATCATCCATTCTTTAAGGGAACATGTTCAATAAAATTTGAGCTTTAGAACTCCAGGGAAAAGTACAAAAAAACATGAATTTTACTAAGAAGAAACCAGGGTAAACAACCACAAAATATTCCACACATGAGATGTCTGTTAGTTTAAAAGGTCTATAATCCTGGTGGAATGTACCAACTCAGAGGTGAAGGTGAACAAAGCATATTTGAATAATAAATAACTTGGACATCCTAATTCAGATTTCATTGTCAATATGAGGAAACTCAAAATAGTGTCAGAAGTTTAAGAAAAAGTCAAAGAATGGACTAGAAAACAAAAGGAAAGAACAAAAAGACATTGTGATCTGCCAAGCAGGGCTTGTTCTGCAGGCGGTAGAAGCTAAGAAGCAGCTTAAATTATTAAAAATTAGCCTTCTTTAAGAAAATAAAATTTTATATACATATATATGTGTGTGCATGTATAAGTATACATAAATACATGTGTGTGCACATAACTGAACCCTAAGAGGCATACCACACCTAGAAAAAGATGTAGCAGAAAGAAATATACTCAACACCTAGAACATTCAGCAGCTACAAAAAGAATGTATCAGAGAAACAGTAATCTTTAAGTGGATGCTGGCACTCAGGTTTCACAAGCATCAAGGGCAGATTCAGTTCAGGAATCTCATGGGAAGATTTTCCAAATGAAGTAACATGAAGAAAGAAACGAACCTCCAAGGCACTTTCGTGGCAAAATGCAGTGTTGGCAGCACTGCGGCTTAAAAATGAGTTATTAGAAAGAGCTTCCATTTAATGTAGCCCTGGAAGATGACAAACCAAAACTTACATGGAAATGGACTAAAGAGTTCAAATGGAAAGAGACACCTGATTACCAGACCAGAGCTGCCAACATCATAAACTTCTTTGCACACTGAGAAAGTGGCTCTCAAATGCCACATTCTATGACAGACAACAAAAAATAGAATTTTGTCCCTTTAGAAACTTGTAGACATGGTGATAAATTAATCTCTTCAAAGATTTCTCCAACTTAGTTTAAGTTCACAGATAGTTGTCTGCAACTAACCGGTTCTCGATGACTGGCAGCCTGGTAGAATTAAAACTAAGATGATTTTTCTCAGTTTATTACTGTCCTAAATTTCTTTCACAGTGCTTCACAAGAACTTGAGTAGGAATTGCAGTAAATTCTTGGAATAATATTTTAGTTGGACTGACAGGTAGTAGGTTGAAGTCTTGATTTTATTTCAAAATGTCAAAGGTAAGGTATCAGTATTAATCATGTGAGTCCTGATAATCTTCTGAAATCTACAATTAAGGCCATATGCAATTCAACATTTGAAGTACTGAAGGAAGTACAATGTAAGTGAAAGAAAATATATGCTGCAGTTGTAGAACCCAACCTCTGGGCAGGCACAGAAATGACATGTTTGTAGCTGAGACCACACAGATTAAGAGGCCGGGAAATGAATTTTCTTGTTAACAACCACAAGGCAAAATAACCCAGTTGATAAATATAACTTCTCAGATGTCATTTGGAAACTTAATTTTTCCCTGGGTTTTGGCAACAAAGGGAGTGCATTTGAAAGTGTAGAAGCATCTTTTACTTAATATTATATGATTAGAATACCCTGAACTCTCATTTCTTCGCAGACCATGTTATACAGCTAGCCATAATTTATAACCCTAAAAAAAGAGAATTTTTGGCCTGAGAAATCAGCCTATGTTCTATGTATTTAGTACTGTGTGTTACAGATTCATGGAAAAGCCTAGTTGTGGCAGTCTAAACAGTCTACCAATGTTTCAAAAACAATACATAAAGGTTTTTAGGACAATGGCTTGTGCAATGAGAAGTGCCCTGAAAATATTTATGTCCTCCTCTAAGGAAGCTACCCACATGCTTTAAATAACCAAGGTTTTAATGAGTAAGCCTAATTAATAGAGAATAAGTAGGAAATATGGAGGAGAAGCTATATCCCTGTCCTTGTATTTCTACTTGAAAGTACTTCATCAGAATTAGAAAGTCCTTTCTAATTGCATTCCCCCTCATGAAAAGTGTTGTATCTAAGGGAAAGAATATAGATTAACCCTTTTAAGAGTCACTTTTTAAGTCTTTTTGGCTATATTCTGATCTAACAGTGGAAAGCGAAAGCTAACCAGAATCTGTGCCTACAAATTCCAAACAGTTTGTCAATAATATAGATAATATTGGGATTCCTATGCATCTGTCTTGGTTTTCTACTCTGTTGAAATTGAACACAAACTGACTTCCAAAACAACATTACTAAACTTCGTGGTAACTTACGTCTCCTCTTCAGCTTTCATTTGGAAGGCGTCTTCTAACCAATCTAATAATTTATGTGTAAACTCACTCACGTCTTGCTGTGGAAAGAAAAAAGATCTTATTGATATTTGAGCCTATTGATAAAAACACTATATGTTGCAACATAAAACCTAAAGGACAGTCAATGAAATGTGTAATTACCAACTCCTCACAAAAGAATCATTCAAAATGTTTCTCATCAAATCCAACAAACTTTTATGATTTAATATAGATATAAAACACCAATACTTTAAACAAACATGACAATCACTCTTATTAGGGTTTCACTTTAGGAAAACTGCATACGTGTGTGTGTGTGTGTGTGTGTGTGTGTGTGTGCGCGTGTGTATAAATTAGAACTTAACAAATGAGTTTGTAAGAAAAATATCAGTATATTCCAACAAAGCTCTATATGAATCTTTATAAAACAGAAGTTGTATTTTGTAAGGAATCATTGACTTCTCTCTTCAAAGATGAGTGTTTTCTGACAATTCAATTTCTCAATTTAACTCTCACACATAACTTTTAAGCTGTATTCAGCTTTACCAAGATACTTGTTAACTTTGGCAGATTAAATCCAATGAATTGCTAACTCTCCAACTATTGCACAGATGTACCTATGAAACTGTTAACTGTGCCCTACTTGGAACCAGCACCTCCATCACCTTCTGCCATCCCTTTCTTTGTACTTACGCCCCTAACAGAAAAACAAGTACATGTGGTAGCAGTTATAAACTACTATAATTTGAGTAATGTGAATTGAATGATAAATGACTAGGTACACAAAGAACATGAGAGGAAAAAAAACAACAAAACTAAGACTGCTCAAAGACAGATAAATCAGTACAAGCAATTTCCCTTTACTTATCAAAACAACCCCAAGTATAAAATGAGCTTCTACATATTTTTCCAGCTGGCTTTAAGGTCACTAGGTCAACATATTCACCTTAAAAATAATGATAATGTATGGGGGGGGCACATCTGTAATCTCAGCACTCGGGAAGCAGAGGCAGGAGGATCTCCATGAGTTCCAGGACAACCTGGACTACATAATGAGCTCAAGACCAGCCAGAACTACATTGCAAGACCCTGTCCTAAAATAATCATAATCATAATTAGAATTAGAATCATGGAAGTAGGTCTAGAAACCTTATGTAAATTGTTCCAGAGCCATATGCTGTATAGTACGAAACAAAAAACTCTAGCTATAAACATCGATATCACCTACAGATAAATATTCTAAATATTCACTTAGAATCTCTGAATTTGACCTTATTTAGAATATGGTTTCTGTAAGTATAATTATAGAAGACTCTCAAGATGACTTCATCCTAGATAAGTTTGGACCCCAAATCCAATAATGGGCATTCTTGTAAGAAACAGAAAAAGATGTGACACACAGATAGACGGAAGGGATACTTGAGTACAGAAAGAAACTGGAACTAATTTGCTACAAACTAAGAAATACCAGAAGTAGGGCCGGGGATTTAGCTCAGTGGTTTCGCCGCCTGCTGTGCAAGCGCAAGGACCCGAGTTCGATCCCTGGTACCAAAAAAAAAGAAATACCAGAAACCAGAAGATGGAGGAGAAAGGAGTCTCCTTAAAGTCCTTGGAGGAACATGGCCTGGCTAACATCTTCATTTGGGAGCTCTAACCTCTAAAACTCTTAAAGAGTAATTTTCTACTTTTTAAAGTTACCATGTATGGCAATTTGCCATGGCTATCTGAGGGAATTAATATAACACCTTAGAACAAATTTCCTATATTTGGAGATTGTATCTAACAAGAAACACAAAAGTTTTCTGTTTATCAGAAATCGCTGGAAGAAGTTCTCTCTTTCTAGCAACTGATCTAAAATCTACAATTATAAAATAAAAATTCTATCTACTTTAACAAGAGGGGAAAAAATGAGGTTTTTAACATTTTATTTTTAGAATAAAAATGAAGATGTTAAAATTGACAGCACTATTACATACTAAAGGGTAGCCCATAAGATGTTTCCAAATATCATTTTTCCAAACACAACATATTTGAAATATTTAGAGGAATGTAAATGTAAGTAAAAATTCATTTTTTGAAATAATCATGATGCTCATGTTACTTTTGGACTTATGCTAAGCGGTCACTAATGTATACTTCAGAGTTAAGAGTTTGGGGAACAAAAGAAAATCAAACTTATATCAAGTTGTATTGCTGTTCATCTACTTTTTTTTCTCTATAGAGAAAAAAATCAACAGTGAGGAAACTAGTCTGCACTGCTAGCTCAAGGCAAAGGTATTCCCACTGCAGCATTCAGAAGCACGTTACAGTAAAAAAGCCAGTTTTCTCTATGTTGACTCTAACTCAAACTGTTTGTTTGTTTGTTTTTTGGTACCAGGGATCGAACTCAGGACCTTCTGCTTGTGAGGCAGTTGGCAGCAACACTGAGCCAAATCCCTGGCCCTTACTCTAACTCAAACTAAAAGGCCCCGCCTACATACATGTGTGGCTCCAAATGAACGCTATATTGCTTCATCTTTAAAGGTGAAAAGACACTCTTTTTAAATAAGAGATCACAATGGAAAGCATCAACAGTAAAAAATAAAACAAGAAAAATACAAAGAAAAAGCAATTCCAAAAGAAATGTCTGGGAACTCAATCTTATTAAAATTTATACTAAGAGTCAGTGGAAAAGATAGGACATACACTGAAGAAAAGAATGCTGTAGAATGGTTGCAGCAAATCTTTGGCAAATGTGTTATTTGTTTTTCTTTTAAGACAAAAGATGTTAATGTATGAGTCATTTTTTCTACACTAAAACCTCAGTATTCAGCTTTAATTGCAGTGTTGGCACTTGGTGATAAGTGGGTTTTGCAGTGCAGTTTGGGCACTCACCTCTAAAAGGTGCACCAAAGTTCCGCTACAGAAATAAATGAATGAGTTGATAAATAAATGAAATATATTGAAAACCAGAAGGGATACTCTAACATGGTAGTCTGGGATCATTTTTGGAATATTATTTCTTTTGGCTTTTTTAGTACCGTTATGACAAAAAAAAAGATACAAACCTGACTAGATACTTCCTAAAAGACACTGAGCTATTGTTAGAAATGTTTTTAAAAAAGAAAATTCTGATTTGAGCATGCCTGCTCGTTTATATTTAACATTCAAGGTGGATTTTAAAAAGAAAAAAAAATATGATGAAAACGGAGTTTTTCAAAATACTCCTTCAAATTCCCTTTCCATAAATCCACACAACAAAAACACCTACACCAAAAAAAAGCTATACTACAAGAATCAAAGTTTTTTGAACCTCTTTCCAAATAATATTTTATCCTCTGCCCTTTACTTCACTGCTGCCATCTTTCTCAACACTTGTTATTATTCCCTACTACCTTTTTCATTCTCATTTGTTTTTCTTCATTTCTCTGACTTTTTAGTACATGAAATGCTGGTTTGTTTATAGATATTTTCTATTTTTATATGAAAATAGCCAATACTGGTTTTAGGAAATGTATAAGAAGTGATCATGACAGCAGAATTTAAAGAATGAAAAACAACAAAGGCAATGTCCTTCAAAAACATCTGAGTAATTAAGCAAAACAGGAATATCAACAACACAAGTACTATACTGACACTGGGTTATCACACAATTGTGAAGACTTTTAATTACACATGCAAACACTTAATTTTATCCTATTTTCCTTTATAAATTTTAATCATAATATAAATCACAACTTCATTTGTCTTACCACTTTCAAGATCACTAAATTTCAAAGTAAGTCTTCCAAATAAACACTGTTTTAAATAAATGGTTCCATGCTTTTTTTTTTTTTTTTTTTTTGGCACCAGGGATCCAACTTGGGACCTTGCGCTTGCAAGGCAGGCACCAGAACCACTAAGCTAAATCCCCGGCCCCTTCCATGTTATTTTTAATCAAGCTTGACAATGCATCCAAACTGTCATGTATTCTTGGAAAAGCTACTGAAGGACTAATGAGAGTAAATAAAATATAAATGGCTAATAAGTACAAAAAAGCTACCTGCTGAGAGTCATTTGATTTGAAGGCATCTTTAAGAATTTCAACTGCTCTGGATGGATCAACATATTTCCTTTTGGTACCAACAAGAAGTGCAAACAGATACCTCAGCTCACGCATAAAAGGCAAATTCCGATGTTCCTATTGAGAAAAGAAATCTCCAGTGAAGATTAACAAAATTTTTACTGTTAAGCAGATATATATTTGAACAGTAACAAAAATTAAGCTAAGTGATAAAGATTAGGGATAAATCCAGCACTCTGTAACATATTTAAAGAAACTAAGAGTGTTGATGTCATCTATAGTACTCAAAGGGTTCAAGCACAAAAACAGCTAAGGACCTAGATAGAGCAGGGTCACAATTTCAGCATAAATGCCACACATTCACAGCAAATCATGTCATTACACAGCCAAGAATATCCTCCTCACTCAAGTCTGTTTATTATAATCCTTCCCATTTAGCAAGGCCCAGCTGCTGCTAACAAGAGCAACAATAACACCCAGCATTCAAAAAGTGCTCACTACATGCCAGGCACCATTCTAAGTGCTTTACCCCAATAAAATCATTTAAGCCAAAATTCTTCTTCCTCCAGAACCCTCTCTAGACCCTTCCAAGTTAACAACGCCTTCAAATTCTACATCTACTGAGATAAATGCCTTTCTCTATGAATCACCAACTGCCACTGCCATGTGACAATCCTAATTATTAGACTAATAGTAAGATCTTGTCTAATCATTAATATATGATTTAATAAACATTAAGGGCTTTTTATATTTGCTTACATTTAT